AGTTAACTTACACAAGAGCTAAACCCACATATACAAAAACGTATCTGCAGGATAATCTATAACACATGTCTTAGTTTCTGTTTTGCCTGTAAAATTTTCGTTGACCATTTACTAACTCTATTTACGAACGAAACCGTATACAGCATATCATATTATTATACTAACTAAGAAAATGACAAATTGAGAATAAACAAAGAAAACCCCCTATAGAGCTCAATATTGAATATATGGAGTATGAATCTATGTATATATATATCAAGAAGAAGGATAAAGATGAGCGTTATGCATATATGTAAAGAAGAAAAGAGTTGGTGGGGAAGAATAGTTACATGAAAGCAGGAGGTGGATGATTGTTGTTGAGGCCATGGAGAAGTGAGTAAGGAAGATGATGATGATTATGGTTATGGTTTGTGGCTTCGCTGATTCTATGGTTCGCCATCTCTCACACAACCCGCAAAAGCTTCAATTGATCGATATCGATCTTCCTGATCTTTATTCTTGATCTTGTCTTCTGCTTGGTTTTCTGTAAATAAAAACATTAAAGTCTTGAAAGAGACGAAAAAAGGTAATCACTATTGATAGAGGCTCGAGTTAAGAAACAACACCAAGGCCCAAGGAAGAGAGAGAGAGAGATCGTGAGTTTTATTTAATTCTTGAACAAATGATTGGATTTTGAAAAGCAAAAAAAAAAGCTAGCTAGTTGGATGATGAACATATATGAAAGTATATACTGTATGTGTGTTTAAATTATTAAATTACCTTTGCAAAGTTTCTCTAATTTTGCTTTGGGTGTTTGAGAGAGAACAAAAGAGGGAGAGAGGGAGAGAGAGAAAGGAGAAAGAGAGCTTTTCTCGTCAAAGGCTTTTTTATGGCTGAACAGAAAGACAATAAGAGGGTCCAATCTTTTCTCTTTCCGATATAAACAATAATAATAATAATGTGTGGGCGTGTATATGTAGTTTTTAGATATTGAAAGAAATGATGATTAATTAATGATATAAGGATTAGTGATAATTAACTAAATTAAATAGTATTAATATTACTCTTCCTTTTATCTAGCTTTACAAAATTTTCAGTCTACTTGTATGCGAAGAAACCTTTGTGATTGATCATCATCACTCCCTCCTTTTCACCACCTTTCTCTCTATATATCTAATTACACAGTATAAACACACAATTTGCACTTTGTTAACTTTCAAAACTTTTTCTTCCTTTTTAAAAAATTTATAAAGAAATATTTGGTGGTAAATAAAAAAAAAAGAAGAAGATCTATGTCCTTCACAGACCTTGTCTCCAGGCTATACTTTTTGTGTGTTTTGTGTGTATTTATGTCTTTAATCGGAATAATAGTTATTTGGGTTTTGAAAGAGGTTCTGTACAAAGAAAACTGAAAATTTAGTTGACTAACTTTATAAAGCTGTCAAGGGTCAAAGCTAGCAGTAGTACTTGGCAATTGATATCATCAAATGAGACGATATCTAATCTATCTATGTATATAGATAAACAGAGAATTTAATTAGAAAGAAGCTTTCTTTATCTTTGTTAAAGTAACAAAAAAAAAAAAAAGAGGCTTATCCAAAATCATGTAGAAGAAGATTGTGGGATACAAGATTAATTGGACCGAGCAAAGGTAGATTATTTAGAAATCTATACTATAATATCAAAGGTAGGAAAAAACTTGGTTTCAAAGAAAAAATTAAATGAAAGGTTTTTGTATTTTAGTAAATAAAATAGAAAGAGAGAGTTAGAGAGCAGAAAAAGAGGAGGAACCCACTAGAAGGAATCACTGACTCTCCCTACTCCACCACAATCCCTCTCTCTTTGTAACCGCCTGTTTGTGCTTATTGGCTCTTTTCCATCAAATCTCTTTTTGGGCTTATTCACTCTCGTACGTACCCCATTTCTTTTATAAACTACTATACTCTAATCTATTTAAGCATCATCTTTTTATACTATATACACTAGTATTCATATTCTCGTGTATATATACATTTAAATTCTTGTTTCATTGTGTATATGTGAAAAATGATAATGGTAAGCTTTTCTACCCACTTTATAATCCTAGCCTAGCAGCATGGATCATGAAGTTATTTTCTTTGTGTGCTGTTCTAAAACCAAACGAAATAATAAAATACATCATGAAAGTTATCGAATAATATAAAAGAATCTCTTCGAATGGGCATTGATCAAATACAGCATGCTTTCTAGCCCTGGGCAAAATATTCGTTAGATTCGCTTCGCTTCGATATTCGTTTCGATTCGATTCAAAAAATTCAAATATCTATAAGATATTGAACCGAAACAAATATGAAAATGTAGTATTCGTAAAAACCGAATCAAATAACAAATATTGATTTTCTTAGTGCCGAATATCCGTTTCGCTTCGTATATTTATATATATGTATTAATATAAATCATTTTATAATATATATATAATATGTGTATTTATAGATTTGGGTATATATCTTATAGGCTTATTATTCAAATTATTATATTTTGGTCCGTTGGTTTTTTTGCTAAATGTTGTTCTTAAGCAAATAAAACTTTATTAGAAAAATCAATATTAAAAATAAAATGTGAGAATTCTATGGACGGTGGTTATATTTTCTTCTTATTTTGAAAACATGTCAAACAAGAACCTCTAATATTTCATATTTTGCACTTTATATTTGTGTAATATATGTTTTTAGTTTAAAAAAAAAAATGGGTCGTAGCGAAGCGAAGCAAGTAATTCGCAAATATTACGAAAAATGTTCGAATATTCGAAGTTCCGAATACTCGAAAATTTACGAAGCGAAGCAAATACCAAAATCAACTATTCGGTCGAAGCGAAGCAAATCACAAATATCACAAATTTTCCGAATATTCGCTTCGTGCCCAGGGCTAATGCTTTCTATTTTTATTTATTTATTTATTAATTAGTCTAGCTAGAAGACATATATACTCTGGTGCTAATGATTAATCGAATACATGCTCCCCCAGCTATAAGATTATCTATGCTTATCTTTCTATTATGATCCAAATGATTTTCTTATTGCTTTTGAATACACAACGTAACGAGAGAATCAAATAATGTTTTTCTTAAAGAAAATATCATGTTTGGTGATCGCGCGATCATATATATTATGAAATACACATAAACAGAAATAAAAGACAACAATGTAATAATTAATTGTGGGATAACGAATGTTTGTTGTGTGCTATGTACATTTGAAATAGCAGAATCTAGTGAGTTTCTATTTTCTAAACCACAGCTCTTTTTGTTAAATGACCTTTGGGATCGATAGGGGGATAAGAGTACGTAGTATGATTATATAATACGTCTACGTACATATTAATACATTTATACGCACATATGATAACCCAACAGTTTTGGTTGCATAGATCTTCCATCTTTTAAGTTTTGAAACCATAGCTAGACTGATAATGTGACATCTTCTAAGTTTCTTGAAATTTTGTGTCTTCTTTAGTTGAAAACATATATGTTTAGTTCTAAGTTTCAAATTTGAGATTTGGATGTAATAGCTAGAACTAACTAGAACACCTTTCTCTCTAGTCGGTTAACCTACCATACTTAAGTTGAATAATAAACTAATTTGCTTCTTCTACCAGTTCAACCAAAACACCCTTTAGAATAATGTCCATTATTATGTTAGACCAATAAAAGATACTAAAAACTAATACGGCCTTCTTGCATTAATCGTAAATATAATATATAGGAAAATAGCTATTTTAATTTTAAAATAAATGCCAATAATTTATAAAACATCTCGATCAAGAGTGTTTTACTATTTTAAAAAAATTTGATTAGTTTGGTATTATCTTTTAATTTTGTTGATGGGTCAACATCCCCTCCTCCCTGTCATCACCTAAATCCTAATGCCACATTTCAGATTCCTTTCCTTTATTAGAAATTGTTTTTATGTCTCTTTTGATTCGTATTAGCTGTTTTAGTCAATCACCTCTCTCTTGCAAATCCGTCATTTTTTCATCGCTTTATTCTTCAGTTTGTGTCATGATGAATCCCCCTAAACTGAGAATTTATGTTTAACGGCTCTTTTTAGAGGCTGTATTCGAAGAAGTGTGTATGCAATATGCATTTGAGTGAAGAAGAAACTTGACTTACTTTGTCAAAAAGAAACCAAAAGAACTGCGCTCAGAGGTTAAAGATTCAGAATAAGAACAAAAGGAGTACTCTAGTAAGTCTAACGGTCTTCAAGATGATTGTATCTTGATCCGAGGAGATAGATATATACTGATCTGACCTTAATCGCCTAATCTGTTTCTAGTGGCACATATGCACACCCAAAAATAGTGCTGGTCGTAACATGACCTAGAATCCAAGAGGCTGATGCTTGAGGCCCCAAAACTATCGAGGCCTAGTTTCATTAGAATCTAATCTGTGAGTATCGATTGGTGGGTATTCTCTATGCTCGGGTGAAATTTGTCAAATTTGCAAATTTCCTTTAATCGTTGTCTTTTTGATTTTGTAACCATTTTAATGTGTAACGGGCCAAATCTTGTTTGTTTGCTTTAGGCCCATAAAAGTTTGGGCTGTTCGATTGCAGCAATCCTCTTTCTTAGAGGCCTTATTACAAATATGGTGCTTTCTGTCTTTGATGGTGAAAAACTGAAAATACACCTATCAGGCAAATATCTTCTTCATCAACTCTAATTAAAAGAGACACATCATATCATATTTATAAACACACAAAAATATAAGAGACAGATGTTATAAAGTTAAGGGGGAGTAAAACCTACTCTAATACCATATTTTGTATATATAAAAAAATGAGAGAGCAACATTAGAAAAGACTTAGAAATCAAATAAACGAACGTAGTGAGTGATTCCCACGTTCCACCTTTCTCCTAACCCTTTTCTTCATCGTCACTCAATCTCTCTCTCTGCAACATTCTTTGTAACGTGTAAATTGCCAACTTTTTGATTTCACTCAATACAATATATACATATATATATATTTTTTATCAACCCAAGTTCGTTGCCGGCCATTACCGTTCGTCCGTTCCTTTATCCATGATCTCTCTCTTTCCTTTTTTTCTTAACCACATTGCCTAAAAAGTTTCTAACTTTTTCTTTCTTTCCCGGAGGAAGGACTCGGTTTTGGGTGAGGAAGAAGAGGAGATAGAGAGAGTGAGAAAGCGCGGCAAGACCGAACTTTGGCGGTTCGGCGGCTCTACGTCGTCGGTTAGTCGAGTCGTCCTGGAGCTCGCCCGTTGTTTCTCGACGGCGGAGGTGGAAGAAAACGACCAGCGAGCCATGGACATTGGCGGTCCAACCGATGTCCGTCACGTGGCTCACGTCACCTTTGATCGCTTCAATGGCTTCCTCGGTCTTCCCTCTGAGTTCGAGCCTGATGTCCCCAGAAAAGCTCCTAGTGCAAGGTTGGTTCCTTCTTTTCTTTTTTTTTTTCATGTCATCTCAGTGAACAGATTTGGCTATTCTGGTGAGAGGAGATTTGTTAGAATAATCTTAATTGATTTTGAGTTGCGAGTTTGCGACTTAGGTTTCTTTATTTGTGTTGGCAGTGCAACAGTGTTTGGGGTGTCGACGGAGTCAATGCAGTTATCGTATGATTCGAGAGGCAACTGTGTTCCTGTGATACTGTTGCTATTGCAGAGCCGGCTATATGATCAAGGAGGCTTGCAGGTTGAAGGAATATTCAGAATTACAGGAGAGAACAGCGAGGAAGACTTTGTAAGAGAGCAGCTTAATAAAGGGATCATACCAGATGGGATCGATGTCCATTGTTTAGCCGGACTCATAAAGGTTCTTCGTCTTTATCTCAACTGTGTATGTGCTCCGGTGTAATGGCACCTGTATTTGATGATGTATATGTGTTTGCGTTCAGGCTTGGTTCAGAGAGCTGCCGAGAGGGGTACTTGATCCTCTGCCATCGGAGCAAGTGATGCAGTGTGAGTCAGAAGAGGACTTTGTCAAGGTTGTGAGACTCTTACCTCAAACTGAAGCTTCTCTTCTCAACTGGGCCGTCAATCTCATGGCTGATGTTGTTCAGTTTGAGCATGTTAATAAGATGAACTCTCGTAACCTTGCTTTAGTCTTTGCACCAAACATGTCTCAGGTCAGTTTTCACTTTGGAAGTTACTCTACATAACACGATTCTGCAACTTTGGAGGTTCCATTGTTGAGATATCTTGCAAGTCTTTTCGTTATGGAGTTGAAGTTCTGTTTCTACTTGTGAAACCTGTTGGCTCTGTTTTGGCTTTATGTGTAGATGGCAGATCCTTTAACTGCCTTGATGTATGCGGTACAAGTGATGAAGTTGCTCAAGAGTCTCACGGAGAAAACTGCGAGAGAAAGGGAAACTTCATCTCCTGGGGTCGAGAGAAGAGGCAACAATGAAGTGGAAGTTAGCAAGAAGGAAGAAGACAGTGAAGAAGAAGATGATGGTGTGTACATGATTAAGGAGCAAGAAGCACCAGAGAGAATAAGAGTGGCTGCTGATGAGCAGAAGTCTGGAGGCATGAAGAGTGAGTTTGAGGGATCTAGTGCTTTGGATCCAAATGATAATGATGGAGCTGTGCAGCCACCAATTTGCACGAATCGTATAGGAAGCAAGTGAGATTTGATGGGTCTTTTTTTTAATAGCTATTTTGTGTGTTTGGATGCTTTATTGTATTGCATATGTAACTTCTAAGCAGTGTAGTTTGTTGTTTAATGTTGATATGATATGAGACTAACTCTGTGGGAAGAACACCACAATTGTATCTGCCTTTCTATTCTAGTAAGATCATATTAATTCATTATAAAAAACATGAAAGGGTTCAACAACTAATACCAAAAGATACAGAGATGAGTTGTTATTCGAGTTTGACAGAACGGTATATGTGGCGAACAAACATCCAAGAGGCCAAGAAGCTTATGGTTCCAAGAACCAAGAAGAGAGCGTAACATAACAGAGCCGTATATCCCAAGTAGAAGCTCAGCTGCAGAAACCCGGTCATGTCAGACCTGAGATAGAACAATACTCCATACCCATACATGAAGATTGCCGTGAATCCTCCACACAGTGTTGACCTGCAAACAATTATCATAATATCGTCTACAATTTTAGTCTGTCCCATTAGAAACTGAATAATGATTCTGAAATAAAAAGATATTACGCTAATCATGTTCACATTTCCTTCTATGACTGTATACTATGACCGGTTGAGTAAGATACTCATTGTAATGTGTATCTGTGTTGGCTTCTCATGTTACTAAGTCTGAATCAAATTAACATGTTTGGATGGAAAAGAATGCACTATAGTTAAATAATACATACCTCCACCACCATTCATGATCTTCACCAGATAGCTGAATGTAGGTCAAGATAATACCTACACTCGCACTCAAGAAGATGAGCAAAACGAATGTGAAAAGCATCATTCCAGGTGAGGTATATATTTTGAATCCCCACAAGCTTGCATAAAGTTGGTGCCATTCGAGAACTACTGCACTGAAAGGTACAAAGCCTCCAAGAAACACCTGGTACAGCTTTCTACGATACCAATTTTGAACTGGAATTTCTCGTGGGTGTCTTTTAATAGCGGTTGGGGGTTGAAACTCTAATAATCCAAAACGGTTACCTATAGCTCCTCCCAACACGAGAAATGGGATATTCAAAAAAGCGTAAATGAGTATGATGATGACTATTGTGCCAAACGGGAGTGCCGCTGTTGCCCCATATGTAATTGCCACAATGTTGAGAACCGATACTACTATGAAGAAAGGAACGGGGTAAAGAATCCCAGCAAGACGAACCCTCCTTTTCTGAAAATAACAATAATGCTCTAATGTTTAAGGTTAAAGGAGCCATGACCCTTTCTGGAAAAGTAAAAGTAGAAGGCACCTAAAATTTCAATCACCTGTTTGTTTCCCTCGAAATGGTTATGGAAAGAAGCAGATGTGTAGCCAGCCACTATTGATGTTAGAGTGTAAATGATGACTAGAGAAGTCAACAACGATCCGCGACTGTATGGGTATAGAAAACCAGTGAAGGCCAATGCAAATAGAGCAAGAATCCTGAAAGACGTAAAACAAGTCAGACTCAGAGACATGGTACAGTATAAGACACAATGCTCTAAACATGCAATTGAACACCAATCATCTTGATACAGGACGTAAGTATTCCCAATATATGGAAACATTATGTATCATCATGTGAGATTGACATGAACAAATTGTCAATAACTAAGCAAATATATAATTTGTATCTCAACTGCACTAAAAATCAAAGTTTGCCAGTGAATGTGATAAAAGTACTTTATGTATTACTATGTTAAGGCATACAAATGGATAGGGATAAACTATAGAACATTATAAAAATATAATAAAGATAATGGAATTCTAGATAGTAGAAGCTTACAAGATTAGCAACTGAGTACCAGTTCCTAAGAATGCACAGAGTAAGGAGATATTCCGAGGACATCTAAATACATCACTATGTACGAGTTTCCAACCCACTTCTTTTTTTTCTTCTTCATCTCCACTCGAGCAACTGAAATTCAGAAAAGAGAAGTTATCTCAAAAAGATGAATTAATCACCACATATGCTAACTTTAAAAAAAAAAACAAGATTAGTCTCCTAAGGAAAAATTGTCACCTTCTTAGTTCACTTTTGAGATGACGCACGAAGAGAAAAAAAAGAAGTCCAACTAACAAAACAACAACAGTTATCGAGTTAAGAAATGAGAATAAGTGAATCTTCTGGCTGATAGGATGAAGTGACGCCTGGGAGTACTTATTCATTCTTGTGGCAGACCGTTCTGAAGTCAAATTCCAAGAAACCGAGTATGTAAACTGAACATCAATCTCAGTGTTCTCGGATATATCAACTAGATAACTCGGATCACTAAAACTGTTGATCGCAACAACTTCATCTGCATTGTACAGAACATTAAACTTCAAGTGATTAAATACATAATACTTAGTATGCTTCTCTTTTTGACCAAGATAGTCTCCCTCTGATTTTCCAAGAAATCCCCACAAGGGGAGATCGTCGTAGTACATCTGAAAGTAGTAATCTTGAGCAATAGCATCTCTGAACATGGCAATATCACTCGATCTCAGTCTCTTGCGGCACAATGTAACATGAGTTTTATCCTCCCCAAATTTCAGCTCATATAGTGAGCTCATTAACCGGTCACCATTAAGAACTTGCCCAAGAGTTTCCTGTTCCTCAATTACAGGCTCTACAAAATATAAGGCAATCCTGAATCAAACACTGGAACTTGTGACACATATCAAAGTACAAATGGATTTTTATATTTCAGGAAACCTGATCATTGAGTTTGTCTCGAGAAATCTAACCTGGACGGCAGAACGGCAAATCATAATACTGATAGGTCTCACTGCAAACAGAACAAGATAAAAAAACAAATCTTTAAAGTGGGTCTAAGAAAATGAGCGATCTTTTGAGTTCCTTGCCAAAGCTAGAGCTTGAACAAAAACATATCTTACACATTCTCTAACTTGATCTCTCCGTGTAATACACACACTTCCATCAAATCAAAGATATCGTCCTCTCAGTTTACTAACCCGTCAACCATATTCCAATAAAAGCAAAATGCAGAAAGAATAACCTTGGATTGTGAAGAGGACCCACTTTGTTGACGAACAAAGGGACATGATCGCCGGCATTGTAATGGGTCGACGAGCCTGATCCGATCCAAAAAGTCAATGCGAGTAGGACTTGTAGTACAGTAAGCAGAAACTGCGCCATGTATTGGCACTCTGCTGCTGTTTTTCAAGTAGAAACGAATGAATATGTGCAACAAGAGGAGCTCCAAAGAAAAAAATGGTCATCTTCTTAAATCAATCAATCAACTCAAGAAGAAAACTAAACGGAGCACATAGGAAAGACCAAACGACGTCGTAAAGGGACAAAGTCAAACCTGAGTGATAAATGGCTTAGCCGGAATTGAGTGGCTTTGACTAGACCATCATCAGAAAAAGTCCCCTAAAGACGGTGAACTTATTAGCCGGGTGTTTATCGGTAAAGTGATATTTTTTTGGGTTGAGGAGAAAAACTATACTAAAGTGGGTTCTGGGTCCGAAGTTTGCAATTTGGGCCCTGTTAAAGTCTTATGATGGTTGCAGGTAAAGGCCCAAGTTGATTTAGGTTTAATTTAGTTTTATCATTATCCTAGTATAAAGTCTTCGCCTTTCGACGAATTTAGGGTTTCTTCTGTCTCATCACTCTCAGGTTTGTGCCTCGAACGACTGACTTCACTTCTAGCTTGATTTCTTCATCGTTTCTACGTGTAATTTACATTAGAAGATTCTTGTTTCTCGAGCTTCTGTTAAAGATTTTAATTCGTTTTTTTTATTCCTTCAAATTTTGTCTCGTTTCCAGGATCAGATCTTAGCTACATTGAGACAAGCTCAAAATGAGGTACACGACGCATCTCTTCAATTTACAATTCTCAGACTTTAACTTGTTTTCTATTTGTATTCGATTTGGTTTAGCTAATCACTCGTTGCGTATGATTGATAGGTTTAATATGTGAATTGCTTAGTAACTATGCCAAATTTCTCTACAGTTTTTTTTCCAAATGTTCTTTGCAATGGTCCTTAAATCTGGATAACTAAATCCCTTCAAGAATTTAAATCGTATATAGATTGTTTACTTGAGTGTAGTAAGATAGGAGGATTCTGTATGTTCAGTAATACATTAGGTACTGTTGTAACTTGTAACTGTTGTATATTTGTGTTTGTTAATAATGTCTTGTGGGCTGATGCAGTAAGCTTCAGAGTGAGGCCGTTAGAGAAGCCATCACTCTTATCAGAGGGAAGGCGGATGAGAAGAAACGTAACTTTGTCGAGACTGTTGAGCTCCAGATCGGTCTGAAGAACTATGATCCTCAAAAGGACAAGCGTTTCAGTGGTTCTGTCAAGTTACCACACATCCCCCGTCCCAAAATGAAGATCTGCATGCTTGGAGATGCCCAGCATGTCGAGGAGGTGGGTAATCTTATCACTTCTTCTTGATAATATGATTATAAAATTGTCTTTTTTGGAAATGGGTCAAATTATATGCTCGGTGTCTTGTACAATGGTATTAGTGCTCATTATACTTAGTGGCTATAAACGTTTGGTAATCTTTGGTATTTTATTTAGGTGGAAGCTATATATATCACATAGTGCTATCTTTGCTTACATCATTTTGTTTACTTTCGCAGGCTGAGAAAATGGGGCTGGAAAATATGGATGTTGAGTCTCTTAAAAAGCTTAACAAAAACAAGAAACTCGTTAAGAAGCTTGCCAAGAAATACCATGCTTTTTTGGCCTCTGAGTCCGTCATTAAGCAGATTCCGCGTCTTCTTGGTCCTGGTCTCAACAAGGCAGGCAAGTTCTGGCTACAGCTAATATTCCTTGTTATTCCTTGTTTTTATATTTTCATAGCTTTTGGTAATCCTTAACTTCTGTCAGTTTGTTTTAAGTTTCTTTTAGGTTTGCTTGTTTGAATAATCTCATTATTTATCAGCTGATCCTACCCCATGCAATGCCGGTTGATGATTCTTAAGTAACACTCCGTTGCTATATGTAATACAGGAAAGTTCCCAACTCTTGTGAGCCACCAAGAATCCTTAGAGTCAAAGGTGAATGAGACTAAGGCAACGGTGAAGTTTCAGCTGAAGAAGGTTCTGTGTATGGGAGTTGCAGTTGGTAATCTCTCAATGGAAGAAAAGCAGATCTTTCAGAATGTTCAGATGAGCGTCAACTTCCTCGTCTCTCTGTTGAAGAAGAACTGGCAAAATGTCAGGTGTTTGTACCTCAAGAGCACAATGGGACCACCACAAAGAATCTTCTGAGCTCTCACCTTCTTGAATGGTGGTTATAAGACACACTTCTTGCCCTTTGTTTTAATTTCCAGACATCTGTGAAACAGTGTAAGAGTCGTCTTGTTTACTCTCCTCCCTTTAGCTCGTGGTTTGGATGATTGAAAGAACTTCAGTGATTTTGGTTTATGGATTTTGTAGCTTATATTATCTTGGATTAGATGTGCTTATTTGACAGAAGAAAGAAACAGCACATAGATAATGAATGCTTAAATATGAAAACAAAATTTATCTCAACTTTATGGGCCACAGAGTCTATTTACTAAGGGCTTATGTTACAAAAATTTCATCCCCTCTTGAAGTTAGTTGGGCTTGCTTGATTGAAGGTTCAACCCATTTCACATTTCATGGCTGCATGCTCTAGTTGAATATATATTTTTCGTCCCCAACTTAATGTTGACCTTGATACATTTTCTAAGCAAGCTCTGTTGATCCATTTCTAAGCAAACTTTATTGGCTTCGTTATGTTAATACAGAACTTGAACACTGTATGTAGTTTTTTTTTTGGTCTTAATACTGTATGTATTTCTTGTAAAATCCAGACGTATGACGAAATTGAAATAAAAATACTAAGCTGAACGAAACGTTATTTCTTATTACTTTTTTTTGGTCGGCCTATTCTATTTTTTTTTTCTAAACACCTATAATTTCGTATATTTTTAAAATCAGTTTTTCCTTTTATATAATGAGAAGTAATAATATGAAAAAAAATTGACTATACCATATCTATTTTGTTGTCTCTCCGACCCAAATCTCAGCTTTACGTAAATTAGAAATCTAGGGTTCTTCCGATTAGGCTAAATCGAATCGAGATTCCCCTCGTATCTAAATCTTTGGATTCTTAAATATGTCTCAGAACGGGAAGCTGATCCCAAATCTGGACCAGAACAGTACGAGGCTCCTCAATCTCACAGTTCTCCAGCGAATCGATCCATACATCGAGGAAATCCTCATCACAGCAGCTCATGTTACTTTCTATGAATTCAACATTGATCTCAGCCAATGGGTAAGTTTCAATCAATCATCATATGCATAATTTGATGTTTGCTCTTGTACCTAGCCACTGATCTGTCTTTTTTTCTCAATCAGAGCCGTAAGGATGTTGAAGGATCTTTGTTTGTTGTCAAAAGGTAAGTACTTTCGATCTTCAACTACTGTGTGATGTACTCTGTGTTAATTTTAATGCTATTTTAAATCTGATGGATCCTTTTTGGTTTCTATCAGGAGCACTCAACCTCGATTTCAGTTTATTGTGATGAATCGTCGGAATACAGGTCAGTATTTTCTTCCCAGATATTGTCTTGGTTCCAGTTTTAGTATTTCTCACATGAAGTTGTTGTGTCCCTTGTGTCCATTCTTCTTTGTGTCTGTTTAAGCTATATGTCTTTCCAATCCCAAAATTACAATAACTGTCCAGTGATTTGGTTAAATTTAATTACTCCCTTCGTGATGTACTAGCAAAAGTAGTGGATATGTATCAATGAATTTTTGTTTAGGAGAGTGAATTCAGGTTTAGCTCATCTATAACTTAGGGACAGGGGTGGATAAGGTTTATCTCCTCGGAGAATCATGTTAATATAGATCTAGAAATTGTTTGCGAGTTTTTAAGTTAGGATTCTGTATTAATGTATTGTTGAATTTCTCTGGGCAGATAATCTGGTGGAGAATCTCCTTGGAGATTTTGAGTATGAGGTCCAAGGTCCATATTTACTTTACCGTAATGCATCTCAAGAAGTAAATGGCATTTGGTTTTACAATAAACGTGAATGCGAGGAGGTAGCAACTCTTTTCACCAGGTAAATATAAGTTACTGTATTAGGTAGTAACTTTTTTTGTAATTGGCAATCATGAATGTAAAACTAGAACCTCAAATAAACGTATGTTCCAGTTTGTGGATTATCAGACATATTCATGTCGGCAAACATAGTGCTTTTGTGAAGACATTTCTTGTAGATTTTGTTTTTTTCACTGTTTTGATGACGTGAGTACTCGTTGTATCTCTGCCTAATGATTCCTTGGCATGACAGAATACTTAATGCATATTCCAAGGTTAACCAGAAGCCAAAGACCTCGTCTTCAAAAAGGTAAGAGTTTCATGTTTATATTAAGACATTACATTATTAGCTGTTTCTTGTATTTTTCTTCTTTGAAGTGAAACTTGAAGATCTATTTTCCGGCTGGTTCTTATATTTTAAATTGAGTTAAATTTTCTATTTACTGCAGTGAGTTTGAGGAATTGGAAGCTGTGCCTACAATGGCAGTTATGGATGGTCCCCTTGAACCGTCTTCAACTTCTAGGGATGCCCCTGATGATCCTGCTTTCGTCAACTTCTTTAGCGTAAGTCTCTAAAAGTTTCTGTACACATTCACACTATCGTCTGCACAGCATCATCTATGACTAATGACAGGAGGGCTTTCTATTAGTTTTATATTCTTGAACTATCTTCAGCGTAGTATTTGGTCCAACTTAGATTCTAATCTGTTCATTTTCTTACTTCAACTCAAATTGTAACACTAAATTTAACAAAAATGTTGTTGCCTTGACTACAGTCAGCGATGGCTCTTGGGAACAATGCAAGTGGGTCAGCAAGTGGGCAGCCTTACCAATCATCACCGATTCCTCACCAACCTCACCAACCCACCATTGCTCCTCCTGTAGCGGCAGCAACACCTTCGCAGATAAAATCACCACCACCTCTACCATCCTCCTCTCCTCTGATGCCTCTCTTTGACAATAATCCTGATCTTATCAGCAGCAGCTCCAACGTTACCGATTTGGTTACACCAGCCTCTTTCTTTGGGCCCCCGCGAATGATGGCACAACCGCACCTCATTCCTGGTTCATCTATGCCCACTGCTCCTCCTCTCAACCCTAATAATGCGGCTCACCAGCAGCGGTCGTATGGTACTCCGGTGCTTCAGCCTTTCCCACCACCAACTCCACCACTATCACTCGCTCCTGCACCCACTGGCCCCGTTATCACCAGAGACACAGTGAAAGAAGCTCTTTTATCCCTGTTTCAGGTTTGTCTTTTTACCAAATCGGTTTTTACTTGATCTGCTGCCAAAACCTAACGAGATGCTTTTGACAGGATAATGAATTTATCGATAAGGTGACCCGAGCTTTACAAAATGCACATCAATCATGAAACTGCGCTGCATCAGCATCTACGTGTGGGACAGTGGCGATTTGATTTAGAATGTGTAGTTAAAATGTAGTTTTGTTTGTTCCCTGTGATACTTTTGAACAAGTGTTGTTGGAACCTCCAACGAAGGAATGTTACAAGATACTGCACTGCTCCCTTGTTTTAGCTCATGGACCTACTTTTCATTTTTTCTACTTTCAAGTGTCAAACCTATCCTCTTATTATGATTATAGTGTAGGCACCGCACATATATAATCAAACTTCGGAAATTCACAATTCTTCCTGATATATTAAATCTTTCATCTATTTGATCAAAAAAAAAAAAAAAAACTTTTCATCTATTAGAAGTTTGGAGATCATTAGAATTGTAAAAACATGTTTACATGCTTCGAGAGTGAAGAAACATATAAACACGATCGAACAGAGTTATCCTCCTTTTAGAGTACTATCCAATCATCATCTCTAAGCGTCGGTCAAGAAACATCGAAGATCATTTTCAACTCTATTTCTTAGAATCAAGAACATTTAAGAAACACTTGGGGTTAAAACATCAAATAGCAAAGATAGGGTCGTTTTGATTTTGATTAATAATAATTATTACACATAACGAAGAGAAAGGACATATCGTACAAATGGAAAGAGTAATGATTGATAATGCTTAGAAGTAATCCTCGGTCCTGCCCTTGAATCCAATTTGTCCGAAAGTGAGGCAGAGGAAGAGGCCTAAGTGCCACGTAACCAACCACAACCAGAACTGTGAAGTGAGAGCTGGAGGAGTTGGGAAGTGAGCCAGCTCAGTTCCGATGCTGTCGAAGAAGAGACCCGTCAGGCTCTTCCCGTTTATAGCCGGGATACTCGACGGAGCTAACCATCCGATCAGCCCAAACCCCACCACGTTCAAATCTCTCCTCAACCAGTTCCTCTCAAAGCTATTTTCATTTTTGCCACAAAGACAAATTTAGTTTTAGAAAACACCTCAAAAACATTCTTTAGTTTACCAGTTGAACCCGAACAAAACAAAAGAGAAACATATACCAAGTGACTCTTCCTCCGGATGCCCCGGCGAGTTTCAGAGGGTTCTTGGCGCTTAATGTTGGTTTTAGAAAGGCTAATAAAACATCATAAGAAACTACGATTAATTACATATCATGTAAACATTGTAGTATATGTTTGAGTCAAAAAGACAGAGAGATTACATGAAGAGAAGGGTTTGGTGGTGATGGAGGATCCTCCGAGTCCTATCACCGTCGATGGGGTTGCAAATGTTGCTGCCATTTTTTTACTTTGCTCTGTGCTTCTTTCTCCCAAATCCGATCTCCCTTGAAGTTTTTTTAAGTAAAACACAACACAAGGCCCCAAACTACAAGAAATAGATTTGAGTTTTGTGGACGAAGGCAGAGATTTCTAGGATGTGTTATCAATCAATAGCTTTGTGACACATCACTATTTTCTTAGATATTGTGGGTCTACCTTTTATTTCTTGGATAAGATTTATTCCTGATTTTTTTTTCTTTTCCTAAGCTGTACCAAAATTAAAGAACTGTACCAAGTATACCATTTGTTCGGTTCGGTATGGTCCGGGAATCGAATCTGGTCCAGGAGCTAAAGGCGTAATTTGATCAGCCGAGTCTGATCGGCGGGTGAAATGGACTACAGCTTAGCGGCGGTGAAGATGCTTTGCTCCCAGCTCCGGGACGCTAAACCGACGCCTTCTCAGAACGCCACCGCTCTAGGCGGTGTTCTTTTTCAACGTGCTTGGTTACAGGTTCCGATCTATCTATCATTCTCTCAATTCCTGTATTCTGTTTCGATGACATTCGATTCTTGCGTTGCAGGGCGTTTTGGTCTCCATCTCCGGCGGCGGAGAGGACAGTATGATCCTTGATGACGGAACCGGTCTTGTCGAGCTCGGCCTATCGAGCGATTTCTCCCTCCGTCAGTGGAAATCGGGAATGTACGTGATGGTTGTTGGTGTTTACCATATCCGTACTGGGGAGATACCTTTACTTAAGGTTACAAATTCTTTACTCTTTGTTATGCTTCCTCATATGCATATTGGATCAGTCCAGTGTTGTTTTAGTTTGGCTGAGTTTGCAGACAAGTCAAATTGCTCTATACCAAATTGGCACAGACGAGAGTGAAGTGAACATTTTAGATGTTATGGTGACAAGAAGCTTAGAGAAATAACATCACAAAGAAGCTTAAGTTCCAGCACTAGGCTAACACAGGCTTAGGGAACTATAACCACAAAGAAGCTTAAGTTCCAGCAGAGGTTTATGAGTTTGTGTATGGTAACAATCTTGTGGTGATACTTTGAAGCTAGATTCATATAATCAGTAGTAACTAAGAGATTCATCTTCTCTTGTGATGTTAGAGTGAGAGTGTCATCTGAATCAACAACCATCAGTTTTCCTGCATTTACATGGAATGCTTTGATTGTTACTAACACAGTTTACATTGTTTTTTTTTATATAACTGAAACCAGGTTCATAAGATGGTTGAGCTGTCGGGAAGCCCTGATCGTGAAGCCATGTGGTATTTGGAAGTCATGGACGCATACAGACTGTTCTATGAGCCATTGATCCAGGAGTTCTCTTGACTCTCCCCTTAACTTTTCATCCTCGAGAAAGAAACATCAGTAGATAGATTATCTCTTCTCATTCTTTTAGTTTTACCAGACCAGAACAATCCATTTTTGTTGGAGATAATCACTAAATCATGGATATGTCTAACTTAAACGAATCAAAAGCAAGGTCGTCTTATTTCTAACACCGTTGTTGGTTTTGTTTTTATCCAAAATCCGTTGCAATTCTTATATTCTTAACCATGTACTAAATTACAATTACCGATACAATTTTACAAAATGCCATTCATGACTAGTAATACCTACAAAATTGTTCTACAAGTTGAGCAGACAAGTTAGAAATACCAAACAGCCTTAAGCAATTGTTTCCACCATTTCGACTTAGAGCTCCTCTCAATCGTGCCTTCTCTTCCTCATGCATCCTCAACAGCCTAAGGATCTCTCGCACCCGAGGGAAAAATGCACCAGGACGAACACAATAAGGTTGAAGCACTGTAAGAAGCGCCTCCGCGTCGACCTCAAACCTATCAAATCTTTTTCCCCGTAAAACAGGTTCTCCTGAGAAAAATTTACGAGAAACATAGTGGTCAAGCCCTTCCGCGAGATTCCTCCACAAGTCTAAGAAGTCTTTCGGGTTCATGTTTAGCTGAAGAACACATAGATGCCTTCTTAAATTGTCCAATGCTTCTGCAACACTCTGAGACACTGTTAAATTGTTGGAACCAATAATGATGTTCTCTTCCCATAAAACCGTATTGATATTGAAGTGGTCGCTGCAAAGATTGTCAAATTGGTGGAGAAAAACTGTTATAATCTCCATAAGCCAATTGGTTTCCAACTCAACAAGGCTTTTCAGTTCTTCCCCAAAAAAGCAGCCTTGGCAGGAAACTTCAGGTTTTCTGTCAACTTTGGCACTGGTTTCCGCAGCCCACATCTCCACAAAAACTAAATCATCACTCCATTCTCGTAGTTTTGATTCAAGATACCGAGCGGTATTAATCGGTCCACAGGCTTGTATAAGTGTATCCTCAAACAAGCCATAGTGGGAGAGATCAATCTTCTTGAACTCCAGTAACATAAATTTGAATATACACCAGAGAAATTTGGTGGCAGTAGCTCTTATAAATTGGATCCTTGGCAGAATGACTGGTAGGGATAGACCATGGTCTATCAACTTCCAAGTCCTATTAAGAAAAGAGTCTGCTATAATTGGCGCTTTATAATCTTCTCTTGTGGATAAAACATACATTGCAGACCGTGAGCTAGATTCATTAGCATGTTTAGTTCTTTCACTATCAACTACCCAAGCTCTCTCATTCTTGATATCCTCTTTCGTTTTTCTATAAGCATCCTTTAGCTCAATCTTTCCCCAAGTCTTGAGCCACTCGGGTTTCTTACAAAATAGTCCCAGTACTGATATATTTTGAGAAAACGCTGTTGAAGAGCCTTCATAAGAAAGACAAGTATCTGAATTCACAAATGACTGCATTCGTTTATCAAATGTAACCATCTGATCGACAAGGTGGAACCACGACGATATAGCTTCAGTTTTCATGTGCTTCTCTTTGAACGTATCTATAAGCCCAGGAAAAACCTTGATCTCTAAGAATCCAGATAGCATCTGGACCATCGCTGAAACCCAAGCTTCTTTAGCACTGCAGCTTACTAACATAGCTCTGTCAATCAAGGGCTGTAAGAAATCATCCACCCCATCAGCAAAGTCTCTTGTAACTTTGTAGACAAGTTCAAAAATAAACTCAGGTTGTTCAGCCCATTGCATGAAATGATACTCCATCCGAGATGCAACCGGTTTCACCAGTTCATCAATTGCCCAGAGTCCAACATTACTATTTTCTTTGGGCATATGAAGCTTCTTCCGTTTTTCCTTCTTGGTATTAAGTTGCTGTAAACCACAGAGGAGTAGAAAGCTTTGGGAATAAGACTCCTTTTGATCTCCTTGCATCAAGAGTAGAGGATTAGGGATGGTAGCAACCTCTCTATACTCGACTTTGGAAGTTGCCAGTTTCGGTGGCCAGCCAAGAGACGAAAGAAAAGCTCGGTGATCTGCGATAACCTGTGGGCGTATAACAGACAAACTTTTATCCGCTCTACTATCAACAGAATCTATAAGGTGGCGCCACTGTGAGTGATGCCTTGTAACATAGCCAAGCATTTCTTCAATCTCACTCATGGTCTTGATGGCATGATTGAACCTCTTATGCTTGACTGCAAGGTCCTGCATTTAAAGATAAAAAAGTTTTAATCTTCCATATTTAGCTACCACAACTCTATATAGTAGTTAGCTTGTGGATTGAAAAAGCTTTACTTGAAGCGTACTTCCTTTGTGGTTTCTTATAGGATGAAACACTGAATCTTCAAGATCTCCAACCAGACTTTCCAACTTTAAGGCAGTCACTGAAAGAATTTGAATTTTTATTTGTATCAGGTTGGCTATTGAGGATGTTCAAAAATCAATAATCGAGCCAAACTCACCGATATATTTACGCTGATTCTGTATTCGGCATAGTTCTTCTACGAGTTGCTGTAACTCGCAATTCGTTTGACTTCCGACAGAATCCGTAGCTGCAATGAGAAAATTGGAGACAATCAGAAAACTTTCTTTCTTCATCACCAAAATAAACAAAGAGGGTATGGTAACTTACGGAGACTGAGAAGGCTCTCCAGGTTCAATCTTAAATCTTCGAGTGAAACTTTAGCAGAAAGCGAGGTTGAGATCCAGGAAACGGCCTGTTTGGTGAGATCTGTCCGGAGGTGGAGAAGACGGTCGTTTAGATCAGAACATTCGTGGCTTAAATTGGACGTTAGTCTTGAAGAGCGGAGGAGCAGATCTCGAAGGTCCTCGAGATTACCGTCAAGAAAGCCTAGTGCAAGACCGGGTAGGTCGGTCGGTTTTGGCAAGACGAACGACAGTGGAAGTGGATGTGCCATCGGAAGCATTTGCCGGGAAACGGTTGTTTCTTTTTCTAGAGCCTTTCGGTGGTCTCGACTCCAATGTGTTTTTATATAATTTGTTTATTTTATTTAGAATTAAAATTAGAATTTCCTTTTTTTATATAAAAAATTTAAATTGTAAGAAATAGAAGAGAAAAAAAATGTAAACTTGATTCAAAGGCGCCGTCGAATCCATCTTTAAGGGTTTAGAGACTTTTAGGGTTTACTGAGAAGAAGAGGCTGAGAGAAAGAGAGAGTGATGGGGAAGAGCGAAAAGACGTCGCTTGGGCGATCGCTGGTGAAGCACCACAATCATATGATTCAGGAATCGAAAGATAAAGGCAAGTACTACAAGAATCTTCAGAAGAAGGTTCTCGAATCCGTCACCGAGGTCAGCGACATCGACGCCATCATTGAGCAGGCTGAGGAGGCAGAGCGTCTTTACACCATTAATCACAGCTCCGCCACACCTTTGTCCATCAATCTGTAGGCTTCTCTTCTTCTAAATTCTTCTTTCTTTCATTTTTTGTTCTGTGTCATCTGATTGATTTGGTATTAGTTTATCTGTTTGTATAAGTTCGAATGATTCAGCTTGGTTATGCTGACCAGGAATCAACCAGTTGGTTTCATATGAGATTTTCATCTTATTGTTTAGTTATAATGGAGATTGGAGAACAGTTACTTCCATGTTGATGTTCTTACTGAACAATTTCATTTGCATATGTGCTGATTGGACTGTTTTGTTTAATGTTTTTGGGTACAGTGACACAAATTCCAGCTCAAGTGTTATAACAGCTGAAGAATGGAGAGAGCAACAGAAGATAGAGGAGGCTTTACACGCCAGTAGTCTTCAAGTGCCTCGAAGGCATGTGGTTTTATTCTCTTTTGAGATCTACACTTCTTTTTTTCCTAGCTCGGAGACAAAGTATAATTTTTTCTTTTTTTAATCTTCAGACCTCCATGGACACCCGAAATGTCAGTGGAAGAACTTGATGCTAATGAAAAACAAGCTTTTCTAAATTGGCGCCGGATGCTTGTGAGGTTAGCTTTTTTTGTCTAACCCCATCTTGATGTGCATGTTTCTGTGTGGCTTATTGCTATTTGCTTATGCATGCTTACATGTTCTCCAATATTTTGGTTTAGCCTTGAGGAAAATGAAAAGCTTGTTTTGACTCCATTCGAAAAGAACCTAGACATCTGGAGACAGCTTTGGCGAGTGCTTGAACGCAGTGATTTGGTAAGTCTTTGTCAAGGATGTACATGGGATTTGGTTAATTGTGAATTTTTTTTGGTTATTTATACTTATCCTTTTTCAGATTGTTATGGTAGTTGATGCTAGAGATCCACTGTTTTACCGCTGCCCTGATCTTGAGGTAGTACATTTTCTCCCAGCTTGAAACTCCACTTGGCTCCGTTTTCCTGATTCATATTCACTTAAAGATTCGTCGTGACACAGGCATATGCTCGAGAAATTGATGAGCATAAAAAAATAATGCTTCTAGTTAACAAGGCGGATCTTTTACCTACTGATGTTAGGTTAGCCAATCTTCTTGTGCCTTAGTACTTTGCCTCCAATCTTTTTTGTCTTCTAATCGAATTGTTTACATTTTGACATATCTGTAGGGAAAAATGGGCAGAATACTTTCGCCTTAACGATATTCTGTTTGTTTTCTGGTCAGCCATCGCTGCTACAGCTACCCTAGAAGGTAAAGTTTTGAAAGAGCAATGGAGACAACCTGATAACTTTCAAGAGACAGATGATCCAGACATTATGATATATGGCAGAGACGAGCTGTTGAGTCGTTTACAATTTGAGGCTCAAGAGATTGTCAAAGTAAGGAACTCTAGGGCAGCATCTGTATCATCTCATTCATTGAGTGTTGAATATCAAAGGGATCAAGCCGTGGTTGGTTTTGTTGGGTACCCAAATGTAGGAAAGAGTTCTACAATCAACGCATTGGTAGGTCAGAAGCGAACAGGTGTCACCTCTACCCCGGGGAAAACAAAGCATTTCCAGACTTTGATAATCTCTGATGAGCTTATGCTATGTGATTGCCCTGGTTTAGTCTTCCCTTCATTCTCAAGCTCGAGATATGAAATGATTGCTTGTGGTGTCCTTCCGATTGACCGGATGACGGAGCACCGTGAAGCTATTAAGGTGGTGGCAGACAAGGTCCCTCGCCGTGTCATTGAGAGTGTCTACAACATTTCTCTTCCTAAACCCAAAACCTATGAGCGTCAGTCCCGTCCACCTCATGCTGCAGAGTTATTAAAAAGTTACTGTGCTTCTCGTGGCTATGTTGCCTCTAGTGGATTACCTGATGAAACGAAAGCTGCTAGGCTGATTCTGAAAGATTACATCGGAGGTAAGCTGCCACATTATGCAATGCCACCTGGGATGACCCAAGGTGATGAACCGGATGTAGAGGACACTCAAGAGCTCGGAGATATTCTCGAAGGTTCGGAGTCCGAAGACTCTGCAGCAGGAGATGAGACAGAAAGTGAACAAGTTCCTGGTATTGATGATGTGCTAGATGATCTGAGCTCGTTTGATCTTGCAAATGGGCTTAAGTCTTCGAAGAAAGTGACAGCAAAGAAGCAAACCGCGTCACATAAACAGCACAAAAAGCCACAGAGGAAAAAGGATCGGACGTGGAGGGTTCAAAACACAGAAGATGGAGATGGAATGCCTGCTGTTAAAGTTTTCCAGAAACCAGCTAACACAGGTCCTCTTACGATGCGGTAATCAGCATATTGTAGTCATCCGAGCAAAGATCATTTCGAAAAGTTTTGTGGATTACAACCAAAGCTACCTACTTTATCTTTTTTAATATATGTAATAACAGTTGAACCTGTTGCAGTTGTCGAGTCTCTAGATGTATTTGTTTCCTTGCTATATTTTAAGTCACTTTGGGGAAAGGGAAGAAAAGAGAAGAGAGAAGGATAGAAAGGTGACAACTCAAATCTGGTGGAAATTGGAATTGTATTTGCCACTTGGAGATTCCCATCGTGTTGTATTGAAAGAATGAATATTATAGCCATAAAAGAGACTCTCTTTTGAACATTAGTGGAAAAGAAACTTGAAGCATTCACGGTTCGTACGTTTGGGGTTGGGTTCGTATTGTAATGTGTCTCAACTCTCTTATGGTCGGGTTAAATAAAACTGCTGCTGATTAGGCTTTTTATTGAGAGAGGAGAGAGGAGAGAGAAACTTGGGATTAAAAAAAAAAAAAAAAAAAAGGAAAATTTCGTTTTCCTAATATTTGTGAATGTCTGCTACTTTGCTTCGTTTTAATTTGGCTTTGAAAGAAAATAACTGTTTCTGTTGAAAACGAGCTCCAAAGGATCTGACCCGTGAAGGAAAGCTAGGGTTTCGATTTTACCCGAATTTTCTCGTGGAGCGGGAAGTTCACATCAGAGATGTTGATCAGGAGATTCGCTTTTCTCTTGAATTTTTAGCTGGATCGGTCTTAGTTAGGTTGTTTTTATTTATTAAAAAAAATTACTTTTTAAAGCTTCAAGGTTCGATAATGGATGATGATTCGTCTATGGTGGCTGACAACGATCAGGATCGGGAGTTTCAGAGCCTTGATGGAAGCCAATCTCCTTCCCCTATGGAGAGAGAGACGCCTCCCCAGATGAATGACCAATCTCCTCCCGAAGGCGGATCGGTTCCACCGCCTCCGTCTTCGGATCCTAATCCGACTAGTTCTCAACCGCAACCTGCTGCTCCTGTTGTGGGACAAGAGCAGCAGCCGCCGCAAGTCGTTGGCCCCAGGTGTGCGCCTACGTATTCGGTGGTCGATGCTTTGATGGATAAAAAAGAGGATGGCCCTGGTCCTAGGTGTGGTCACACCTTGACGGCTGTGCCGGCTGTTGGTGATGAAGGAACGCCTTCTTACATTGGTCCTCGTCTTGTATTGTTTGGTGGTGCCACCGCTCTTGAGGGTAATTCTGGTGGCACCGGAACTCCTACTTCTGCTGGAAGTGCTGGCATTCGTACGTTTACCTTCTTCTCCTTTGCCTCACTTGTTTCATATTCCTTTTTAGTATCTCCGCTCTACATTTCGCTTAGTTCTTCCACTATTCACATCTCTCGGGTAGTTGTTAGTCTCATTCCTTACTCTCAAGGTTCTCTCCTGAACCTATTAAAAACGGTTTACTAGTTTCTGAAGTCTTAACTTTTTTTTATTGAGGCCCTTGTCAACCCCTAACTGTCTGAAGATTTAGCGATTACTATGATCTACTCTGGTTATTTGCCTGCAATCCTTGTGAGTTTGTCTCACTTTAGAAATTTTGGTTCCAAAAGTTTCATCTCTGTTAATTTAACTGGCAGTGTCAGGTGAATGTGTTTTCTCAACTTTTATCGTTTTGAATCTTTTTTTATGTGGAATCAGTAGGGCCAATAGCTTAGTGTAGTAGCAGGCCACACTATTGGCCGTGGAATATTAGATCACTAATTAGATGATAGATTCTTTGTTCTAGCTCTTGTTATTTCTGAAGGTTCCTAGAATTGTTGGTTGATTAAACAATTACGGTGTTCTTTTCTGTGCAGGGCTAGCGGGTGCAACTGCCGATGTTCATTGTTATGATGTACTTTCTAATAAGTGGAGTAGGTGAGCATACAACGTGTATTTCAATGGTTTTTCATCCTTATTACGGAAACTGCATGATATCCTGGCCTTTTTAAAATTCTGAATACCAGTTATTTAAATGAAATGTGGCTGCAGGCTTACACCCTTTGGAGAACCACCAACCCCGAGGGCCGCACATGTAGCAACTGCAGTCGGGACCATGGTAGTTATTCAGGTAGGGAAGAAATGTTGCCTCTAAACTAAGATTGAAATAACTCTTATTCTGGTATTTATTAAACTATATGTATGATTGAAGATGAACATATTAAGTCAGCTATGAAAGTGCCTCTAAATTTGATGTGTGGTGCAGGGTGGAATCGGTCCTGCTGGTTTATCGGCTGAAGACCTTCATGTTCTTGATCTCACTCAACAACGGCCTCGTTGGCACAGGTTTGAAAATAAACCTGTCACCAGTGGCTATTTCGGTTTAAAATTCAGTTTGTTAGTTTGTGTTGATATAGATGATCATGTTCTCTATCCAGGGTTGTTGTTCAGGGTCCTGGGCCAGGACCGCGTTATGGACATGTCATGGCACTTGTGGGACAAAGGTATCTCATGGCAATTGGTGGAAATGATGGTAAGCATTTTTCCACATTGCTTATTTCCACCGTTTATGAAAGGGTATCATATTCTTCTTAAAGCTCCTTGCTTCTTAACTCCATTTCAAACTACCAGGAAAACGTCCACTCGCTGATGTCTGGGCCTTGGATACTGCCGCCAAGCCTTATGAATGGCGTAAGCTGGAACCAGAAGGGGAAGGTCCACCTCCCTGCATGTAAGCTTTATTACACTCTTTTATAATTGTGTGCTTTGCACTGGAGTAATAGTTTTTTCCCTGTTTGTACGTTGTAACTAGGTATGCAACTGCAAGTGCGCGTTCTGATGGTCTTCTTCTCCTCTGTGGTGGAAGGGATGCAAACAGTGTGGTAAGTGAAGAGATTTGTTACAGTTTTTGCCCAATTATCTCTTTGAAAACATACACTGGGCTACTTATTGAGGCACAATGTAGATTATTCACTTTTGCCTATTGTGAAATAGAAATGGGACCGTGAGATTTAGTCAATTTTTATGGAGGTTGAGCTTTTTCACTGAGAAAAGTGAAAGTATTCTATTTCCTCGGCTATAAAATTTATTAATGGTGCAATAAACAATCTGAATTCTTTGTTCCAGAGCAGACGGAGGTGTACCTCTTGTCTGCTAAGTAAATTGATCAAGAGTTTGTTTTTCAGTTATCTGTTTGTACATGATCTTAAAAAGTTGTCAGTTCTGTATAAAGTGAATGAAACTAAATAGACTGCCTTAATCTCGAATGCTTGATTGAGGGGATTAATAGTTTTTCTACGTTTGAATTGATAGCCGCTTGCCAGTGCATATGGACTTGCGAAGCATAGAGATGGACGTTGGGAATGGGCAATAGCCCCTGGTGTGTCACCGTCTTCCAGATATCAGCATGCAGCAGTATGGGATGCTTCTTTCTCTTTGGTTATCTTTTCTGTCCTCAGCAGAATAATTAAATCATTTAATGGATTCTTTAGGTCTTTGTAAATGCAAGACTTCATGTGTCCGGTGGGGCTCTTGGTGGTGGACGCATGGTTGAAGACTCATCCAGTGTTGCAGGTTTGTGCTGTTGGATTTTTCATTGAGGAAATACTCTCGAGTCTTCTGTTGGCCATTGTTGAAATGTGGCTCGTGTATAGACAAGAGCTGTATATAATGGTTTTATACGAAACTTTCATTTGCGGTTCTCTGATTATATCATCTATTGTCTTTGTACAGTATTGGATACTGCAGCAGGTGTATGGTGTGATACGAAATCAGTTGTTACTACTCCTAGAACTGGCAGGTACAGTGCCGATGCAGCTGGTGGTGATGCATCTGTTGAGCTGACTAGGCGTTGTAGGCATGCTGCTGCTGCAGTTGGTGATTTGATATTTATCTACGGTGGTTTACGTGGAGGTAAAGAGAAAATCTAGGCAGAATTTTGTTTATGTACTGTTGTTTAGATTTCACAGTTTCTTGTGCATGCTTCTCAATCAGGATGAATATATATGGTTGGATTGTTCTGTAACTGTGGCATAAGTGATACTGTATATTACTCGTTTTAAACTAGGTATAGTTTTTCGTTAGAGTCTGACACTATCACAGTAAATATCAATTATAGAAAAAATTCCTACATTCTTAAAAAAATAGTTCTCTCTCTCTCTCTCTCTCTCTCTCTCTCTCTTTTAATTCTTACAAATTATGGTTTCACAACTTAATTGTACATTGTTGATACTTTAGGGGTGTTACTCGATGACTTATTGGTTGCTGAAGATCTTGCTGCTGCGGAAACAACATATGCTGCTTCTCATGCTGCTGCAGCTGCAGCAACAAATTCGCCACCAGGTCGATTACCTGGAAGGTATGGGTTTTCAGATGAAAGGAACAGGGAGTTATCTGAATCAGCCTCTGATGGCGCTGTTGTGCTGGGAAGTCCTGTTGCACCCCCTGTAAATGGTGATATGCATACTGATATAAGCTCTGAAAATGCATTACTTCCAGGAACTCGGTTAGCTAACTTCCATAAGTAATGATTGATCTTGTGCTGTAATGTTAACAAAATGATGAATTTAGTGACAACCATCCAACAAAACTTTGTAGGAGAACGAATAAAGGTGTGGAGTATCTTGTTGAAGCATCGGCAGCGGAAGCTGAGGCGATCAGTGCAACATTGGCTGCTGCCAAGGCACGACAAGTCAATGGTGAAGTTGAACTCTCAGATAGGGATGGTGGTGCAGAGGCTACACCTAGTGGGAAGCCTACTTTTTCACTAATCAAGCCAGATTCTATGGGATCAATGAGTGTTAGTCCTGCAGGGATTCGTCTTCATCATAGAGCCGTGAGTGTCATACTTATTTTATAGAATACAATAGAAAATCGTTCAATGTAATTCCGACACCATGTTCTTCATTTACTAGAATTTCTAATCACATAGTGTCACCACTAATGCTTTTTGGTTTATAATGATTCTGGCACTTTGTTATTAGGTGGTGGTTGCTGCAGAAACTGGTGGGGCCTTAGGTGGTATGGTTAGACAGTTATCCATTGATCAATTTGAAAATGAGGGACGGCGTGTCAGTTATGGGACACCAGAAAGTGCAACAGCAGCAAGGAAACTATTAGATAGACAAATGTCAATCAATAGTGTTCCAAAGAAGGTAAAGATTTTGGTAACCCCATAATGTTCTGTAAATTGTTGTGATCCTAGATGTTGAAAAAGAAAATCAGTAATATATTTGGTGAAGTTTATGATGAAAAGGGTACACTCTTGAACTATTCAATACTTTCTGTGGCATTGGTTAATCGTTTGGTAGCTGTGATATAAGTAAGTCAAAAGTACCATAAAATGGTATTTTAAAGGTATACATTACTGGTAACTCATTGGTGAAGATTCTTTTGCATCTTCTGTTTTGTTCAATTAGATATTGTGTGCCTAAAGATTTCAGTTAGTGATTTGGCCAGTGTCTATTTTTGGAGTTCTAACGAAACTGTAACCTAACTATGCCTTAATAGGTTATAGCTCATCTTCTGAAGCCTCGTGGGTGGAAGCCTCCTGTTCGACGCCAGTTTTTCCTAGATTGCAATGAAATAGCTGATCTCTGTGATAGTGCAGAACGTATCTTCGCAAGTGAACCAACTGTTTTACAGCTTAAAGCACCTATAAAAATATTTGGTGATCTGCATGGACAGTTTGGTGATCTTATGCGCCTTTTTGATGAATATGGTTCACCATCTACAGCTGGAGACATATCGTAAGTGCGCTGTTACAAATTCTGACATCATTAAGCAACTCTATTTTTGCTGGGACATTGCTCATTCTGTTGTTACAATTGTCAGATACATTGATTACCTCTTCTTAGGGGACTATGTTGATCGGGGTCAACACAGTCTAGAAACAATCTCCCTTCTGCTTGCACTGAAGGTAGGTCTAAGCGTATAATGTTTGTTTTGACTCGATGGAGGTGTTGTAGTTGCTTAACCATAGAGGGTTTGAGATTCTATATTCGGTACTGCAGGTTGAGTATCAGCATAACGTACACTTAATACGGGGAAACCATGAAGCTGCGGATATTAATGCGCTTTTTGGCTTCCGAATCGAGTGTATCGAGCGAATGGTAATGTATTTTGCTTCTAAATCTCTTGTTTCTATATATATCCCACTCATACCATGGTTGCTTTTCAGGGTGAACGTGATGGAATCTGGGTGTGGCACAGAATAAATCGTTTATTCAATTGGCTACCTCTGGCTGCATCGATCGAGAAGAAAATTATATGTATGCATGGGGGTATTGGTCGTTCTATAAATCATGTTGAGCAGATAGAAAATATTCAACGGCCAATTACAATGGAAGCTGGCTCCATTGTGCTCATGGATTTATTATGGTCAGTCCATATCTCCTATATGTTGTTCTGGTTTTTTTTTTTTTTTTTTTTTTTGTCCAAGTCTTACTAGTTTGTTAATTTGGAATTTTGTAGGTCGGATCCGACTGAAAATGACAGTGTTGAAGGTTTAAGGCCGAATGCTAGAGGCCCTGGATTGGTAACTTTTGGGGTGAGTAATCATCATTCATTTCAACTTTTAAATTTGTCTGAATTTTCATTATTACTTAATTTTATCTATAAAATCAGCTATTATATGTCCTTTGTTCTCGGATATAGATCTGGGATAATATGATATTCATAGCTTTTATCTTGAAACCGCGGAATATAATATAGTTTGTTCACAATATACCATATGAAGAATTGTTAATTGCTTTTGCATTTCATATTTACCTGTTCTGTTATTCATTCACCAAGACTTTGCCATTGCAGCCTGACCGTGTCATGGAGTTCTGCAACAACAATGATCTTCAGTTGATTGTACGTGCACATGAATGCGTAATGGATGGATTTGAGCGTTTTGCTCAGGGGCATTTGATAACACTCTTTTCCGCTACAAACTATTGTGGTATGTGCATGGACTCACTAGCTAGTGCCATAACCTGATGAGATGGTTGATGGAAATATTTTGTTCAATTAATAATATTCTTATATAATCTCAGGTACTGCGAATAATGCTGGGGCTATCTTGGTATTAGGGAGAGATCTTGTAGTGGTTCCTAAGCTCATTCACCCTTTACCTCCAGCACTTTCATCGCCTGAAACTTCACCAGAAAGACATATAGAAGACACATGGATGCAGGTTCCAATTGCTTCACTTCATTACTGGATCTTCGTCTATAGTTTTGACCTGAATAATTGGTACTTAGCATAGCATTTGCTTTTTGCAGGAGCTGAACGCAAATAGGCCAGCAACGCCAACCAGAGGACGCCCACAAAATGCAAACGACCGAGGAGGTTCTCTGGCTTGGATGTGAGACAGACAGAGAGGCACTCGTGCATATACATCCCACTCCCAAAACACTTGTAACATCTGCCTCCTGGTGTTCCTCATGTGTACAGAAAAAGATGAGCGATAGATAAGAAACGATGAGGTTTGGAGATATCAGGGGGGTGTGTAAATTGAGATGTTGAAAGGTTAGAGAAGTCAGTTTTGGTGGTGGTTAGTAGTGATTTGTAGAGTTTATTTGTTCGGGCTTTAGTGTCCTCTCTTTCATTTCTATTCAGTCTGCTGCTTTTTTCTACAATATCTTTCTTTTTCCTCTTCAAATTATCTTTTCGTTTTTGTTTGTGGTATAGTTTCTTGGAGAGTGGATACGAGTTGTTAGAATGGTAATGGTTGATTAGTTGGAGGATGGTCTATCGTCTCTTTTAATTCTGTATCATAGAGACGTTGGGGGCTTTTGTGTATTTAAATTATTTAATCCGTTCATACTTTGTAACATTTGTGTTGATATCATGATACGAAAATTTTTCCTGGCTCCTTGGGTTTTCTAAGCTAGACAAAAAGAAAGAAAGAAAGAACTGTGTTTGTTTAAGGTCCTTAAAGCGACGCTGAGTCCGAATGTTGGTTTCTTGGATCATCGGAGTCGTGACTCTAATCACCCGATTTGGATGAGATTTTTGTTTAATACGATGCACTTTGTGGCCACAAGTTAAAAAAGATGTTGATGTTGAGGAATTTGACATCGATGCTGTCATTAACATCCTAAGTCCATCATTACGTCGGTTCAATGTCTATATGCTTTTGTAGGAATATGTCTGAAACCTGCACAACCGCACACTTACAAAGTTTAGGGTTTTTTTAAAATATGTTAAAGAGAGTTTTGAGCGTGATGTTGTGATATTATCCAGTAACATACTAACATCCGTATAGATGATGTCTTGACTGCTAAATTTTATAATGCTGTGGTTCATATAGTAATTGAAAGTTGAAATGTTTATTTGTCCGTCCGGTGACAAAGTTTGGACTTTGGATTGTTGTACGTCATTTTTTCAACTGCCTTACACACATACTATACGAAAAGGTTTCCTTAGTTTAACTTAGGTAAAAATAACAAAAAAAAAAAACAAATATGTAAATGTCCGTACGATTAGGGTGATGGGTTCTGTACTATAGATTATAAAATTTATGTTTTGATTTGTGTGGTAGACTAGACTGAAACAGTAACATAGTTCTGTACGGAGGTCTGTGTGCACAAGTGCTGAGGCTATATTAATCTTTGTCAATTACAGACACGACGTAAAGGAGCAGCTGAAAGGAAAAGTTGAATTAATTAGTTTTTTTTTTTATCATTCGTTAATCATGTGGATATTCCTGATTAAGAGCAACATTATTAGTGGTATCTTAGTCTAATGCATATCTTAGTCTAAGATTTGGCTAAGATACCATCAATCTAAGTAGAATAGTTAAATAACTATAATACCAATTAAATTCCTAGCGGCTCCAGCTCATAAAAGACTAACGCAACACTCCAATGGAGGGGAGGGCTTAACTAGTACCCAGCTTACTGGGCTAGGTTCGACTCTGTACCACTTTTCCATTTCTTTATTATCCTCTTTAGCCCCCAAAGCTCGAACTGCAAAGCACCATTATTTTTTTGTTAACAGTATATATGACATGGATCCCTCTGCAAATAAACAACAAGTCATTTTTCTACGTTTTCCTCTCTTTCTGAAGGTGAAGAGAGTAAAAAATACACTTAAGAACTGAGTGATCATCAAAAGGTGGTAATGGAGACAGTAAAAGATATATTGAAAGAAGGGATGAGAGTAGCGAATGAAGATCCGAGAAGAGTAATTCATACTTTCAAAGTGGGACTTGCTCTTGTTTTGGTCTCTTCCTTCTATTATTACCAACCTTTCGGGCCTTTCACCGATTTCCTCGGTATCAATGCAATGTGGGCTGTCATGACCGTCGTTGTTGTCTTTGAATTCTCTGTTGGTACATGTGACCCCTTTCATCTTTTTTTTACCATTTGAATATCTTGCTAGATTTTGTTTTTGCTGTAAACGTGTGCATGGTAATAAATGGTTAAGTTGTATTAGATTCTTAGCTATAGTTTTAGATTTGAAGAGGGTATTTAACTTTTGTTTGGAGTGTGTTTAGGGGCAACACTTGGGAAAGGACTAAATAGAGGAGTGGCAACACTAGTAGCAGGAGGACTAGGAATTGGAGCTCATCACCTAGCAAGTTTGTCAGGTGCAACAGTAGAACCAATTCTTTTGGTCATGATGGTTTTTGTGCAAGGTAAAACCCCGATAACACTCATCCATTACTAGATTACCATGCAGTTCCAGGTTCTTGGTGCTAGAGACTAGATCAGATATGTTAAGTCTCTTCCACAGCATCCAAAATTGAACTCGTGATCTTGAGGCAATATTCCTTTTTGCAAGCTCTCCTACCTAGTATTGTACACTTGTAGACCCGTATTCAATTTCATACATATCATATCTACAAGATTGAACGAGGAGTAATGGTAGTCTATATATATGTGTGCAGCTGCGTTGTCCACGTTCTTGAGGTTCTTCCCACGTGTGAAAACAAAATTTGATTACGCGATATTGATATTCATATTGACGTTCGCACTGATATCGTTGTCGGGGTTTAAAGATGAAGAGATATTGGATTTGGCGGAAAGCAGAATATCGACAGTGGTGATTGGAGGATTCTGTTGCGTCCTGATATCTATTTTTGTCTGCCCTGTTTGGGCTGGACAAGATCTTCATTCTCTCCTTGCCTCTAACTTTGACACTCTCTCCCACTTCCTCCAAGGTTTCTCTCTCTCTCTCTCTCTTTGTCTCTCTCTCTCTCTCTTTAGGTTAACTATATATAATACCTCAAAACATCATGCACTAAACAAATTTTGTTTTCTAAACATATTGGTTATTCAAAAATCTTCCTTAAAATAGCTCCTTAAAAAAGATTTAAGAAGTGTTTTAAATAATTTTGTGATATTCGGTTATGAAACTAAAAGTGGAAATTGGCAGATTTTGGGGACGAATATTTTGAAGCGAGAGAGAAGGGGGACTACAAAGTTGTGGAGAAGAGTGGAAGGAATCTTGAAAGATTTAATAGTCTTCTTGACTCAAAAGGCGATGAAGAAGCTTTGGTGACTACACTCTCTATCTCCCGTAGTACCGCTTCACCTTTAAAGTACATAATACCAATTTTGAAACAACTTGGATTAATGATTTTGCATTGATGTGTGTTCATTTTCATTTAGGCTAATTTCGCAGAATGGGAACCACCTCATGGCAAATTTAGGTTTAGGCATCCATGGAAACAATATCTTGCCGTGGGTGCATTACTCCGTCAGTGTGCCAACAGGATTGATGCCTTGAATTCATACATCAACTCAGATTTTCAGGTATTTCTAACCTTTTTTTTTTTGTTAGGCTTTTGCAGTCGTATAATAACATAATAAAGTTCTTGGTCTATGCATGTTTATATGGTAGTTGTTTAATTTTATATGGATGTTATGCATAATATATTCGTTCCCTTACATTCTTTTTGTATTAGATCCCAATGGACATAAAAATGAGACTAGAAGAACCATTAAGAAGAATGACCTCGGAGTCGGGGAGGTCAATGCAAGAAGTGTCCATCTCATTAAAGAAAATGATAAAATCATCTTCTTCAGATATCCATGTCTTCAACTCACAATCTGCCTGCAAAGCTCTTTCTAATTTACTAAAATCAGGCATCTTGAATGATGTCGAGCCTCTTCAAATGGTCTCATTGATGACGACAGCCTCCCTGCTCATAGATATCGTCAACTTAACCGAAAAAATCTCAGAATCCGTACATGAGCTTGCAACCGCTGCAAGATTTAAGAACAAGATGAGGCCCACCGTATACTCGGATTCCGGAAGCATTAGTGGTCGTGCGGCCATGCCAATAGAATCTCATGAAGATGGTCATGGTGTCACAGTTTTGAACGATGTTGATGCATCAAACAATGTTGATAATTCGCTTGGATCAGAGAACTCATGTCATCATGTCGCCATCAAGATTGTTGAAGATGGTGAAATACATGCACATACGAGTTTGTTAGAAGATATGAGGAGGAATGATCGTCTCCACTGAGTAGTGATCGTTCCTCTCATTCCTCATTTTATGAGTATCAGTGTTTTGTACCCGCAAGATTATAGAGGTCAGACCATCGGTTGGTATATAACGTATACGGGTATTTCAACTTTGAAGTTTCCAGACTACTTAAAGGTTACAAACATTGTAGCCTTCCAATAATTTTAAACTATTGGTCACACATTCTTTTTTTTCTTTTTGGTGACACTGCAATCGGCAAGAAACTTACTTGTTCGGTGAAATGTATGAGTCATTAATTATATGAATGTTCAGGTGACCAATTATCTCACAAAAGTCAAACTTTCATACTTGCATGAGTTAGAAACATTAAAGAGAGATCACGTTCAGTACGTACGTTAAAAGATTTTATATAAGAAACATAATCTGGAAATCGTATTTTTTAGGTTAGATTTTTATATATATTATATATGAAAGGTGCCTTTGTACGATTGGGCAAATGGGTTCCGTACGTTGATGCCAACTTGGCGTGTGACTCGGTGCAAAACGCACCATTTTGCGCTATCTAGCTACGTCCGCGTTTTAACCATTACCTTTTCATTTAATGTTATTTTTTCCCCTTAGACAAATCTATTGATCTCTTTGCTGTGAGAGATGATACACAATATGACAATACATGGTCCGAAACTTCCTTGTTGACAACCAAAAAATAAAATAAAAAATATCTCACTTCAATTTTTTCCTGTTAGTAATTAACAATAAAAACTCGTAATCTATATGTCGGTTTTCGTATTAAATAAAAAAGAAGAAGAAGAAGAATATAAGATTAATGGACAATTGGTTGTCATAATATAAGGTAGGTCTAAGAATGTGGTGAAAGTAACATATGTGAATGAGCAAATGAAAGGATATATATTAGCCAACTTGGAATGATGAGAGAAACGATGGAATAAATTGACAAATTGTGATTAGTCTTTTTAAAGTTATTTTGGAGTTTGTCATGGTTGGTAAATGTCAATTACGTAATATAATAGACTGTTTATTTCAGTATTATTTGTTACTCACAAGAAATGTTCATATTCGGACAAAGCTTTAAAAGTATCTCTATTTGATAACACGTCTAAATTAAATACTATGAATATTTTTCACTGAGTTTTATAAACAAAGACTAGCTATATATATAATTCGTGCATTAAGTTTTTTTTTTAAGACAATTTTTTCCTGTCAAATGAAAGAGTTGTGAATCACGAAATTTAATGAACTTAATAAAGATTAAAATGTACAGGTATCAACTTTTAAAAATGGTTAGAAATCAAATATTGTTGGATAGCACTATTTCTTTTTTTATACAAAAGAAAAACTTTTGGACGTGAACTTTTTATTGGCAATTTTGGAAATAAAATTTAAAAATGAAAATAAAGCAATTAGCTACTAATAGTCTCTTTTAAATATCGGATTAAATAAGCACCAAAGTAGAATTTGGTCACGTAAGTAGTCTCTGCCTCTAATTAATAAAACGCTGTCTCTAATTAATATATTTTCTCATTTTCAATTTTTTTTTTAACCTTCAACGTTCGAAGTACAACGCATCACTATTTTTTTACTCTTAATAATAAAATAAAATTTCACGAGTTCCAAACAGAACTCGTTAACGCTCTTTATAAATATTCGTCGATCCATCTACTCATAAAACAACAACAAGTGATCCTTTCTACTTCTTCCTCTCCTCTTTCTGAAACTCATCAGAGAGTTGAGTGATTATCACAGAAGGGGTGTGATGGAGAAAGTGAGAGAGATAGTGAGAGAAGGGAGGAGAGTAGGGAATGAAGATCCGAGAAGAGTAGTTCATGCTTTCAAAGTGGGACTTGCTCTTGCGTTTGTCTCTTCCTTTTATTATTACCAACCTCTCTACGATAACTTCGGTGTCAATGCAATGTGGGCTGTTATGACCGTAGTTGTCGTCTTTGAATTCTCTGTAGGTCAGTATCACTCATATGTAACCAGCATCAGTCACTTTCTAATATGTGAAGATGTCTAGTATCTAGGGAGAATATATGGTTTAATTAGTTGTATTGAAAGATTTTCTAACTTTGGTATGGTGTGTAATCAGGGGCGACACTTGGGAAAGGGATAAATAGAGCAGTGGCAACATTAGTAGCAGGAGGACTAGGGATTGGAGCGCATCACCTAGCAAGTTTGTCAGGTGCAACAGTAGAACCCATTCTTCTCGCCATCTTTGTCTTTATCCTAGGTAACCCTCGTAATTACTTATATACGCCTGCCTATAGTTTTCTCAAAGAAGAATATATATGCTAATGGTGTAATATTAATATACATGTGCAGCTGCATTGTCGACGTTCGTGAGGTTCTTCCCGCGGGTGAAGGCAAGATACGATTATGGGGTGTTGATATTCATACTGACATTCGCACTGATATCAGTATCAGGGTTTAGAGAGGACGAGATATTGGATTTAGCACATAAGAGACTATCGACAGTGATGATGGGAGGAGTTAGCTGCGTGCTTATCTCTATCTTTGTCTGCCCTGTCTGGGCTGGACAAGACCTTCATTCTCTTCTTGCCTCCAACTTTGACACACTTGCCCACTTCCTTCAAGGTTTGTCTTTTTCTTTGGGGTTCATATTACATATATAATAATAATACCTCGAAAAAAAACCCCCCAAAAGTTTGTAAGTATTTTTGAAATTTCTGCTGTATATATATTCATTAAAAAAAGTGGGAATTTGGCAGAATTTGGGGAGGAATATTTTGAAGCGACAGAGGATAGGGACATGAAAGAGGTGGAGAAGAGGAGAAGGAATCTTGAGAGATATAAAAGTGTTCTCAACTCAAAAAGCAATGAAGAAGCTTTGGTGGGTTACTCTCTAGCTAGTACTCATCATCGCTTGATCACTTGTATAATTATACCCTTTTTTTGAACTAACTTGGACATATCTTTTGTTAACTGTGTGTGGTCAGGCTAATTTCGCAAAATGGGAACCACGTCACGGCGTATTTAGATTTAGGCATCCATGGAAACAGTACCTTTCCGTGGGTGCATTACTCCGGCAATGTGCTTACCGTATTGATGCCTTGAATTCTTCCATCAACTCTGATATGCAGGTATTACTATTTACTTCTTTTACTTTGTTTCAGATTTTAAATTAAACAGAATATGACATAAGAAAAATTCTAAACAGAGGATACTTTTACATGTAAATATAATTAAAAATGAAACACGACATATAAGTCCATATTATATATGGTCCTTCTAACAGTTTGTTTTGTTTTTCTATTAGATTCCAATGGACGTAAAGAAAAAGTTAGAAGAACCATTAAGAAGAATGAGCTCGGAGTCAGGGAAGGCAATGAAAGAAATGTCCAATTCATTAAAGAAAATGACAAAATCATCTTCATCGGATATCCATGTAGTAAACTCACAATCTGCATGCAAAACTCTTTCAACTTTACTTAAATCAGGCGTCTTAAACGATGTTGAGCCTCTTCAAATGATCTCACTGATGACTACAGTCTCTCTGCTCATTGACATTGTTAATTTTACGGAAAAGATCTCAGAATCGTTACATGAGCTTGCATCCGCAGCTAAATTTAAGAACAACAAGATGAAGTCGTCGTCCAAGTCGGATTCCGGAAGCATAAGTAGTGCCGTGCCAATCAAATCTCATGATGATGATGATGATGATGATGGTCATGTTGTTACAATTTTAAGTGATGTTGTTACGTCAAACAACGATGATCATCAATCGCATGGAGTGAGTTCAGTGGACTCCTGTCATCATGTTGCCATAGAGATTGTCGATGATGATTCGATCCATGAAAAACATGAAGAAGATAGTACAAATATACATGTACATACAAGTCGTGTATCATGTGGGATCACTAATGCTAGTGGTCTCTTAGATAGTGGTGATAAAAAAAATTTAATAATTAACTAATTAACTATTTAATTTATCATAGGATTTAAGGGTGGAGCATGGGACTCGTCATGTATATTAAATAAAGTTCCTTTGAACGATATTTCGTTTTTTATCCAACCTATAATTCGACCATATGTATTTTTTCTGTTTTCAGTAATTTAAAAAAAAAAAATCCAAACAAGTTATGTATGCAGTTTTTATTAACTTGATTTTCGGAAATTTATCAGCAAGACATTGCACCGATGTTGTTAATTAGATTACGATATGTATTAGTGTTCTTCTATGAACTAACGCAATATATAAATTATAAAAAGGGTGAAAGTCATTATTTATAAATCAAAACAATATATATATATATATATATATATATATATATATATATGTAATTTATCCTTTTTCATATCTTGACACACCTCATGCGTGTGTAAAACCATTATAGTCCAAAAAAGTAAAGGAAATATGTGTACATGCATGTATCATTTTCATTAGTATTCATTTTTTGAAAAACAGCCAAGAGTTAAATTCATATATTACTCATTAACCTATAAGACATAACGAAGAATTAACTTCAGTCTTCCCCTCTTTACAGCCGGATTGGCTCCCAAAAAAATTGTTATGGTTAGTCTTTTTTGTTCTTTTGTTAAAAGGCTAGAAATCATTAATCTTAAGACAAAAGGGGATAATCAGGAGAAAACATATAAATGACATGCGTATTTTTAAGAGTTTTTTTTCTTCTGCAAAGAGAAATTGATATTGATAAGTGTTTTTATTACGAGGTGTCATTATTAACCCTAGGAAAATATTAGGGAAGGTGCCCATGTTATCGTAAGCTCACGGGCTCTCTCGTGCTCGTTTGTCTATTAGCCCTTTTTTTATGTCCAAAACTGCTTTTTTTCAAAACTCTTGAACTCAATGGGGAGCAATTTAAAGTGGAGGGTAAAATTAAACAAGTAAGTAATTAGGTCTTTGTCTCCATTATTCTATTCCTTACTACTTTTTTTTTTTTTTTAACTCTGGTTTTGTATAAAGATCCGTTATTCCATTAGTTGAATATAATAAGTTGCACCCAACAACAAAAAAAAGCATGTCTTCAAAATTTACTATATTTCATATTGGCGAAAGTTTTTTTGTACTATATTTCATATCATAAACTATGTTGAGAGAATTTAAAATAGGATTAAAGAATTATAATATTTTTGAATTAAGACAAAAATATGATTGAGTTGTGAAATCCGAAACGGGTCAAGAAGCCTAAAGTATAGATCCAATCCAACCATTTAGTCGATAAATATACTTAATCGATCGACTTGATAGAAAATTCACACCAGACATGCATATATGGTAATCAAAATTATGATGAGCTTGAAACCTGAAGGAAGTCTTTAGACTAATTGTTTAAAAATTGATTGATTTGCCTAGTTACTGAGTTTGACACACCACTAGAGACCTCTTCGATCGTTCTAGTTAATTTTAAGTCATGTATCCTCTAAGTGATTGTTTATTTCTTTTCTTTTCTGTCACTTCGAAATTTGCAAGATTAAAAGGACTACAACTAGTATCTAATCAACAACATTCAGGTACGTAACACAAAACATTGCTAAAACTATGCCGTAAAAATGAATATACTGTATAAGTAATGTAGACTATGCAGTCATTGGATTCCAATCTAAAGATTTAAAAACACTTTAATAGACAACTTCACTTATCATGAGTGCTCCACTTACGTATCAAAAGCTCTCAATGAAGATGCACCGCCGTGCACCATCACCGCTAATCGATTATATCAAATTTAATACTAGTATAATCGCCGTAGTTAATCAAGCAGCAAATCTTTTTATATTGTTTAAGGACGTTCCAGATTAAACCAACCATTAAAGAACAAAGTCCAAATCATTGTATATATAAAAAAAATAAAGTCTACTGATAACGACTATAATGCGTATCGCGTCAATTGAATATTTTGTTTATCTTATACTTCCTAAAGTTGCGAATGATGTGATAAGAACCGTACATTTAAAGTGGGGAAAGGTACACACACACTTAAACATTTGTGCCCCAACATTTAAAACGCATTTTAAAATTCTTTCCTTTTGTTGCTTTTGACTTCCGTAATCGTTTTCACACATATCTGTTATATGTTTTTTACTATTTTATCATTTTTTTTGTTGGTAAATCACAATTATCTATCATTAGGAGTGCCAATAAATTGGATTTCTAAAACATTAGCTAGGTGGAGTAGCATTTGACTATTCATCCGTTGTCAACGATACGTATGTTTCAGTTTATATATAGTTGATACAATGATACATTAGTTATAAATAGAACAGTTTCCAAATGACAACAGAAGAATCTATTATTAGGCTATATCTATATGTTCCGGTTGAATATCATCTGTTAATTATAGTATACGAATACGACCCTGTTAGTAAATACATGTTCTGGTTTTGCTCCTGGGCTTATAGATGAGAAACGGCAATGCCAATCTCAGTTCAACTCGACAACGTTTAAAAAACAAAAATTAGCTAGGAAGCCATCCTTACTATATACTATACTTTTAGTCGAGTTTCAGATCAACCTGCATGGTAGTTTTGTTGTTTTTGCTAATTTTAGAGAAAGCAAAATACACAACTCAAAAGTTTTCATGCCCAAATACATTATAGGAAAATGAAAACGAGCGGTTACAAAATTATGAAATTACAATCATACAAACAAGCCAAATAAGTTAATTTCCCGATGCTTGCCAAAATGCCCACTGCATGCGCCTTACAGCTCGTCCTACACGAAATTCAGAATCATACCAATTTACAATTTTAGAACAATTGAGATGACTCAGCTGTATTTAATATGCATAAAAACCATAAATTTCAAGTGGTTGAGATAGAAAAACCACTTACATGGTAATCATCCATGTAATCACGTGGATTGTGCTGCAAAACAAAACAAGCCATTTCCAACATATTCACTCCAAGGTTAGTAAGAAGCTAAGGAGCAAAACTATATAACTGATTTGGTCTCAATATGTACTTACACGTTTGTACCGCCTCCTCCTGTCTCCATATCGGTGGTCCCTTTCCTTCCGTCTGCGCTCGCCTTCTTCCCGTGCTTTTCGAGCTTCCTGTAAAAGTCAATTTGTATGGCAATGTTCGTAACTAAGATATACAGAGAAGATTTGAAAAGATAACAAGCTAGATGTGGTTCGTAAACTACAAACCTCATCTTCTCTAGCTTTTCTTTCTTTCTCAGCTTCCGCAAATAACTCCTTCTCAGACTAGTGTGTATGGCCAAGTATAGAGCATATCAGATTACTACTAAGACATTTTCATATATAAAACCACACGGAAGTTCTCTTTTGCAAAAAGAAGCAAAAAGATATCTCAAGGCTCTGAAATTTACCTCCCTGTGCTGGTCAAAATAGTCATCCACTATGCTTCTTGCATATTGCGGGTCATCGCAGATCAAGATATTGTCAAAGATCGAACCCGCCTTCACCTGCAGTATTAACATCAATTTCTTCATTCAGTTGCACTAGAGAAACTGGGTCTCTCGTCTAAAATGAAGGCTTTTATCTGATCTTTTTGTTTTGTGTTAATCATGAAAGTTCTACCCTAGAAATATGGATGGTCTCTATGTACAAGCTGCATAAATTTGCTAAATTTAACTACTGTATAAAATGTTTATCCATGTTTAGTGATGGAGTGATTAAAAAAGAAAATTGGATAGAATTCAAAAACGCTCTGGAACTTACCTGCCATACTTCAATCCCTGCATATTTTATTGGCTTCAGAACGTAAAGATCTGGATCATCTTCAAATTCTGTGCAAAACCAAGAAGCTCAAGCTTAGTAATTAAGAGAATAAAAATCCATCCTAAAACGCAGATACACACTAGATAGACAGAAACATGCCTGGATTATCTATCCATTGGCTCTTCCATTTTCCCTTGTAGTTTGGGTTCTTGATTCTCTGTAGGAGAGTAATGTTTTGAGAAAATGTCAAATGGTGCAGAAGAAAAACAGGTAATCTATATAACCATTAATGATGATTGTCAAATAATCACCTTTGCTTTCCAAGAACCTTTGTACGCGGCATTTGGGATCTTTGGGGGTTCCCAGAGACCATTCTCTTCCTCATCCCAGTCCTCAGGCTAAACAAGTAGAGAGAGATATCAGACATAAAGCTTTAAGACTATCACAAATTAATGAGTTCCAAAAACTGGTCATAATTTCAGAATTTGCAGTGATTGAGGACGTAGAAAAAATGATGGATATCTTAGACTACTACTGAAAATATTAACAAAATAATCAGTTAAAGATTCCAGTCTAAAAGTAGCATACCTCTTTAGCTTTAGGGTCTGGAATTTCACGCGGAATAGAATCAAAACCCTGGTTTCAAAAGAAAGAAAGAACAAATTGCCTAAATCAAACTAAGATTTAACTGTATGGGAACGGAATAGCTTCCTTTCAGTACAAATAGTCTTTAATTTCTATATTGCTATGAAAGATACCTCGGGTTTGACATCGTTGGGGTCATCAATATACTCTCTATCATCCCAGTCCTCTGGCTGCAAAAACAGATTGGTAAATCTATCAAGCTGAAAGCAAAAAGAATGCAATGTAACTGCATATCTTGCTCTTGATAAGAAATTTCAGTATTTTTCTTGCCACATTATAAGCCTACTGTAATTATCACAGGAAAAGGCTATTCAATCTTGCAAGTGTTTGGTTTAGCAATGCAAATTGCCCAAAGAAAGACTCTTTAAAACCTTACAACCACCTAAGCAGTTACCTTCTTTGCATTCTTGACCTTTATCTTCCTTGGGGGAAGGATGTCCCAGTCTGTGTACATACTGCCAAATTCTCGCTCTTTATTATCAACCAGAACGCTGTAAGAAGCGTCAGGCCGCAGAATAAATGTGTAAAAATGATTTAGTTTGTCTGTTTCGCATTGCAAATCCTTTTTAATCGGATAATTCTGTCCCTGATATGAAAGAATAACATGAAGTTTCTTTGTCTGCGTTCCACATATATCTGGTCCAAACATTAGACTGCATAGAAAAAAGGAATGAACAGTTTTAATGAGAATCTTGAGAGACAACACCTCTAGCTAAAAAAAAAACATGAACGTAACAATCAATTATTTCATTAGTTTATGAAATCTGAAAACATCTCCACATTTTCGTGGGATCAACTAAATCAACAACTTCATAATTGTTCTTCCCACTATAGTCATAGCAACGAGGATAAAACTAAATCTAGGCCGCTTGATTAAGATTGCATGTAACCTTCTAGGAACTGATGTTTACTGAAAAGGCATTACGGTAAAAGGCACAAGATTACCTGTAAGGAGTATCACCACCAAACTGCTTCTGGTTAACATAGCCAGAGAGGAGCTTGATGTAAGCGCCACCACATTCTATGTCTTGTTCAATCTTGACTGAGTACTGGACAACAAGAGTCCGGTTTTTGTTGCTAAACTCAGGAATCTTTGCAGAAATTGCATAATGCTTGGCATCATTATAGGTCTGAATACCTAAACGCATGATGAAAAGTCGGACAAAAATTTCCAATGTTAAACCAAAATAAAATTCCAGTTTTCCTCATGGTAACTTCAAAGATCGAAAGCCAGAATACTCAGTCAAGAACGTCACACTAGAAAAGAGCTTACAAGAACAAAATCAGAGAACTAAAAAGTTGCTTAAGTTGAACCAAATGAAGATCAATTCTAATTTTCCTCAGTTAACTTGAAAGATCGAAAGCAGTACAATTGCTAACTCCATGTCATAGCCCACATAAGAAAAAAGCTAAAGATCCTATACACAACTCGCTGCTGACAAGAACATATTAATGAACAAAAACACTGAATCATAACAAAGATCACAGGGCAATCAGAGATATGAAGCTCTTGCAAAAATCTACTTAGCATAGCAAAAATCAAGTGAATCCCTTAACGCCGAAAAAAAGATAAGGGTTCCGGAATTAGTGATCAAGATAACTAAGCAAATCAAGGGTGGGTGAAAGGAGATACCTTTATTGTCAGGATCGCCGGGCCATTTGCCGGCAGTATGCTTAAAGGTTCCAGCTTTGCCTTCGTTTCTTTTCCAGTCAGACAAGACCCACCTGCTTTTCCATCCACCTGAACAAATCTGACTAAGTTTAATTACATAAATCTTTCAAAAAGAGAAAGAATCCAGAAACCATATAATCGTTATAATAACCAGAAAAGGAAAAGCTTAGAATAGAAATAGAAGATTCTAGTGACTAGTGAGTGATGGATTTGGTTTCAATCTTCACTATCCTAAACAAGTCCAAATCTAACAAGGACAATACTACTTAGTGATTCATAGCAACAAAATTCAAAAGCCAACAAAAAGTGTTAATCGATGTCTTGTTATCCGGAATAGGAAAAAGAGAGAATATAATAAATATCACCTTCGAAATGCTCTTCTAAGAAGATCTCGGAGAAAGCCAAAGGGGCGATAATGAGTAAAGAGAAGAGGAAGAGGGAGACAGAACCGAGCTTTGTTTGAGGTAATCCCATTTTTGGCTGACACTTCTTCACCCTGGTTATTAGTGAGTATTTGTGCTTGTTCTTTTTTTATATATAACAAAGAAGAAGGTTGACTCAGAGTCGTTTCCTTTATTTACAGTATTACCCCCTCTTGAGGTTTTGGAATGATTATTTTCAAAAGTCTTTAGCTGTGTGTTTCATCCTCTCTCAAGTCGTCGCATAAGTGGACTGCGGAATGTTCAAAGTCGTTTTACATACTTCTGCGTGACAAATGGGGCAAGGCAAACCCCTTCAATGGTCCCAACTCTTTATTCCTATATCTCCTATTGTCATCTATGTAAACAAAGTTTGTTTTAACTATAAAAAAAAAAAAGTTTGTTTTAACTCACTGTATATTAATCTATCATTTTTTTTTGCCTGATGTGATGATCATCTTAGCACAATGTTTTATTAGATTATGGTCAATTAAAAAGAAATATATATATGATCAATAATGCAAAATTAACAATGCAGGAAACAAAACAAAAACTCAAAAAGAATTGGTTTCTAGCGAAGAAGACTACATGACATTTATCGGCATCTTGAGCCCAGTCCAGCCCAATAAGCACGAAATGTTTCTTCTCCAGAAGTTTCCACTAACCTCCCTCAGTAAGTCAAAGTGAAAGTACCACACACTCACGTTAGTAATTAATTATGTTTTAATCCTTGAGTTTAAAATTATTTTCAATAAGCACCGAAGGTTTTTTAATTTTTAAAGACAGTTATACCCCTATCTTAATGAACACGTGTGCTGCGCGTGACCTTGATTCAATCCTCATTCACCACCGATGGCCTCCGACGTCCCATGCCTATCCCCGTCGCCGGCTTCGCCGATGGCTACCAGTCGCGTAGACGTCTTCTGGCACGACGGAATGCTCCGACACGACGCCGTAGTAGGCGTCTTCGATTCCGGACACGACCCTGGGTTCCTCGACGTACTGGAGAAGCACCCGGAGAACGCCGATCGCGTCAGGAACATGCTTTCGATTCTCCGACGCGGTCCCATCGCTCCTCATGTCAATTGGTTTTCCGGCCGTCCAGCACTCATATCTGAGCTTCTAATGTTTCACACTTCAGGTAGATCAATCTAAGCTTCGAGAATAAGGGCAGGAAAGAAAGAGTTTTTTTTTTTTGAAATATGTTTCTTAATTTCGGCAATTTAAATTTAGACGAATTCGAGTTTGATCTGTGATACTTGCTTTCGATTTCGATCCTTGAACAGAGTACATTGACAAGTTAGTGGAGGCAGATAAATCAGGAGAAAGGTGTGAAATTGCTGCAGGTACTTTCATGAGCCCAGGCTCGTGGGAAGCTGCCCTTCTTGCAGCTGGAACAACTCTATCAGCAATGCAACATATTCTTGATTGCCATGGGAAAATAGCTTATGCTCTGGTACGCCCACCAGGCCACCACTCACAGCCTACTCAAGCCGATGGGTATTGCTTCCTCAACAATGCGGCTCTTGCTGTCAAGCTGGCATTGAATTCGGGTTCTTGTTCCCGAGTTGCGGTTATTGACATCGATGTGCACTACGGAAATGGCACAGCTGAAGGGTTCTATACATCTGATAAGGTTCTTACGGTGTCACTCCATATGAACCATGGGTCATGGGGCTCGTCTCACCCGCAGAAAGGATCAATTGATGAACTTGGTGAAGACGTGGGATTGGGTTACAACCTGAATGTCCCTTTACCTAATGGCACGGGTGACCGGGGATATGAATATGCCATGACTGAGCTGGTGGTTCCTGCAGTGAGAAGGTTTGGACCCGATATGGTTGTTCTCGTTGTTGGTCAAGACTCTAGTGCTGTGAGTTCTTTCTTTGCCGAAAGCTTAATCGTTTTTCCTTTAGCATTCAAACCCAATCAGCCCTATAATGCTCTAATAACCACAAAAGGAAACAAACACACTTGCACTGACATCATGTTTGCCATAGGTTGGTTATAATCGAGACCTAACTATTTACAGAGTCTGCAGGTTCGGTACTCCATTAGGATCATTCATTAATCACAGTTTTATATAGCTGTTTATGGTTCATGTAACTTATTCCGGACTAGAAAAGTCTGTCTAGGCACTCCTGCAGGGTTTATTTTCTTGGTTAGGGGTAACTAGATAACTTATATAAGCTGCTCCGTTGACTCTGCTGTGTAAGTCTTCATAAGTTAGAAGTGCTATCAGCCACATTAATTCTTTAACATTCAGTTAACAAAAGCTAGATACAGAATTAGTACAATTAGAAATTAATCAATGTGGGAAGAGGTTGTTGAGCGATTAGGGTATTGGTCTGGCATTGGAAGAGTGTTTTTAGGCTTATCTCAAATGCATACAAGGTTTTGCATTCCTTTGCTTCAGTTTGTTCTTTCATCTCCATTTGTATCCATCATTAGTATTCACCCAAGGGTTTTGAGGTGCTGACAGATAACCACTTTTTTACTGTCTGGATCTGCAGTTTGATCCAAACGGGAGACAAAGCCTGACGATGAATGGATACAGAAGGATTGGGCAGATAATGAGGGGGGTGGCAGAGGAGCACAGCCATGGAAGGTTGCTTATGGTGCAAGAAGGCGGGTATCATGTTACATATGCAGCGTACTGCCTCCACGCCATGCTAGAAGGCGTGCTGAAGATACCAGAACCGCATCTAGCGGATCCGATCGCTTATTATCCCGAAGAAGAAGCTATTGCTGTTGCAGCTGTGGACTCGATAAAAAAGTACCACTCCGAATTTGTTCCATTTCTCAGAGGAACTTGAAGATGTGTCGTATGAATGAGTTTTACGATGTGTTTCGTTGTGTTATGACCTTTTTGGAACAAATCTAGGTCCAATTGTAGATTGAGATTATGGCTATAGAATCACAAGTTTAGACTTTTCTGCCAGTCCAAATCGCCGCATATGTATATGTTGAGCTGCAAAGGCTCTTTCAGGCGACAGCTTATTCACACGATCATATGATTTGTTCTTTTGAGTTTTTTTTTTTTTTTTTTGGTAGTGAAGGGAATATAATACTTCTTTTGCCAAAAGAGATTTGATAATATATACTCTCTATGATCAAGATTCTATAAAAATGCAATTAGCTCCAAATAAGAAACACATAGGATAGTGCGGGGATCATTTTTGTGCGGGTCCTTGAGAATGCATGTCAACCTCGTGGAAATATGTCAGGATAAGATTGGTATTCTCTCGTCTTCTAGATCATGTTTCCCCCTCGTCCTTCTATGAAAACTTGTAAGACATATATGTGTGTTGCCTTGATTCCAAATACTAATTTACATGCATGTGCTCAGTGCTTCTTTAAAAAAAGGCAGTTTATTTACTTCCGTTGTTCCATAAAATTAGAGCTCTTATAACGAATTTTCTTACAAAACCATATATAGTATCTTTATTTGTATATGAGTTTTTTAGTTGTTTTTAACTCTTAACAAGGACAAAATATTAAATATTACTATTAAAAATAAGTTTGCATCGCAAATAATATAAAACATCTATTTTTAGGAAACAATTTCTTTCCTAGACCTACTATAATATTAAAAACGGATGAAGTAATAAATGACGTTTTGTGGATTTATGTGTTCACTTAGCTTGCAGAATGAATCCTTCTTGGATTTTAATGAACTTTTAAAAACTCAATTTCGAGTCATTGAAACCAATCCTGTGCACATGTTTATGTTTTAAAGAAAATGACAAAACGAATTACATCTTTATAAAAAATTGTCCAATTTATGTATATTTTGGGGTCAAATGTCCAATTACGTATCGTTTTCAACTGTTCCTGAATGGATGTATAGCAGCTTTCTGTATACAAAATTTGGAGTTAATGAAGTGAATGTTATATATATATATATATAATGTGTTAATATATAGTTTTGTTTTTTCAACTTTTCACGTGTGTTAACTCTGGCTATGTAAACAATTTTACGATTGATGTTAACCAAGTCCCAGTCTCGTTTTCAGATATATGTCTGCCTGTTTGTCAAAAATAAGTGAACCATACTGTTAAAAATACTCATATTGTACTATTTTATTTATAGACTGAAGTTTTGAAATATTTAGCACGATATATATGTAAATATATTAAAAAAAAACAGAAGTACTACATAATTTAGTCATATTATTTTCATCCAACATATTCAAACAAAACAGCATGATTGATTATGCGTAAATAGAAAAAGGTGTTTTTGGTTAAAGCATAAAGAAATATGACTTTTAAAAAATAAGAGTTTTGTCACTCAGTTATTTTACATACGTATAATGTAAATAACTAAATTTATAAAATTATTGAGCTAGGTCTACAAAAAATTTGAAACTAATTAACATTTTCGGTGATATATAAGATACCATTGAATCAATTGCCGTAAATTGGAAAAGAAAAAAAATAAAATATTACAAAGGAAAATCTTCTTCACTATATGATAGAGTAATTTAACTCTCAAGTAATCTAAAAAAAAAAAAAGTAGAAATGGTATTGAAGTATCGAAAGAAAGAAAGAAAGAAAAGAGAGGAACATTGTAGTAAAGTCCCCACTTGTCTATCTTCGTCTCCAAATAAACCACATTATTATTAAGTCTTTTCAGATTTTTTTGTACACTTCCTTCACCTCTCTCTCTCTCTCCCCCTTCCTCTCTTTCTTCTTTGCCTTTGCCCTTTATCTTTAAATTTTTATTCTTCCGAAATCAAAACAGTTCCTCTTCTTTGATCTCTAGCTATAGCTAGCTCATTGGGATATATATACATATAAATATAACTCCTAAGTTTTCCATATAACCCGAAATCAAGAAGAGAGAGAGAGACATATATATCATCGAAGAGAACATATCCACACACACACACACAAAATGTCTGTGGATTTATCATCTGAGCGTGTTTGCTATGTCCACTGCAACTTCTGCACCACGATTTTAGCGGTAATTAATCTCCCTCTACTCTTACTTCTCTTTATATATATGTATGTCAATGAAATTATATATTTCTTAAACGATCGATAAAGAGAGTGTTAAAATTAAATATATATATATATATATATTTCACTGAGCTAGCTAGCTAGCTAGATCCCCTTTTTCTAACTTATATAGCAAACTGTTATATAAGATAATTATCTTAATCTATCACTTAAGTTTGGTTGGATCTTATATTTATATGCATATTGTATGATAGATTTTGCATATAGATCGATCATGGATGTCCTGTGATTTTTTATGAACATATATATACAAGTGACGTTTCTTGATTTCAGAAACCCTAATTTTTATTCTTTACAAAAAAAAAAAAAAAAAAAAAAAAAAAAAAAGCGACGCGTGATGAGACACCCAAAGAAGCAAAAGAAGTTGGGTAGTTGAGAACATAAATTTTAGTGCTCAAACAAAGTAAACTCAAAGGAAACAGCTCCTGATCAGATTTAATTAGGGCTCTATGAGTAGGTTTTAAGTCTACTAACCTAACCAATTTAACCTCTTCTTTTTATTTTTGATGATTTTTTCCTTTTCTTTTTTTTCTTACTCATGTATTCATAATTTCTATGGTGTTAGTTAGTTAAGCTCACTAAGATTTTCAATCGCCATTAATATTTCCTATAAAAGGGATTGATAGATAGCATCCATATGTGATGCAGTCTCAAAAACTTTCACTAAGTTTTCTACCTTTTTATATAGTCTGACTTCATTTTTATCTTTTGATATGTTTAACTGTAGTATGTGACACATCACACATGTATACATGTATCATATCAATCATAGATCTTTCATCTACAACCGTGGTCCATGGAAAAATGTTTACATCACATCAGCAGCTGCTTATTTTAAATCATTTGTTTTTGCTTCTGCCACAATTCCTTTTTCTTTTGTTCTACAGTGAGGTGAAGCTAATTTATTAAATTTTTTTACAAGTTCAAAATTCATTTAAAATCTCACTTGTTTTTTTCAACTTCATAGGCTGTCTACATATATACTATGGATATTAATTACTAATGGTTTTCTATGACTTATTTATCAATATCCACAACTCTAGCTTCCGCACTGTAGTATACATTTATATATATATATATATAAAAGATACACATCATAATTGATCTATGATCCATAGGAATCTCACTCATGTCACTTCATTGTTTAGACGTACGACAAAAAAACCCAGTAAAACATGAAAAAAAATCTTCTACCCCTGATTATGCATGAAAGGTATCTATACTACATTTAAATACATAGTGGAGATGTCGCATGAGTCTGATTAGGGGCAAAAACGGTCACGTTTAATAAAAATGTTGAAGGTCTTGTTGCACAAAATAGGGTGTGTTTTGTAGTGGAAAGTACAAAAGATTTGTTCTACCCAGTTCAAGCAACAATTTCTTGATCTATACAAAAGCTGCAAACTGTTAAATCATGGCCGATCTTGACCATTTAGGATTGGATTCTTTTCTCTCTCTCTCTCTCTCTCTCTCTCGCTCGCTCACGCACACACACAAACATACATACACAAAAATATAAGAGGATTATAATAAAGATGGTACCATCATATATTAAGGACTTTATGGGCTGTGGTTAAGGTCACGTCGTTTTCTAACATGACTGTCTTCTCCTTACAAGCTTCATCAACCATTCTTCATCTCTTTACTATCTTTTATCATGTTGCCTTGATGCTTGTGTGTCAGACATAGAATTCATCAGAACCCACCATACAGAGATAAATACACCCTTATATATTTGGTAAATTTGATTATTTGTTTGTCCGGATATTAGCTGTGATAATACTTCTATAGTTTTTCTATTTCATATTTCATGTAATGAAAATGTATGACTATATATAGGACTAATTTTTCATATGAAATTATGATTAAAGAGATCTTACTAATTAATCAAGACATATATTAATGATCAGGTAAGCGTGCCATACGCAAGCTTGTTCACACTTGTGACGGTGAGATGTGGCCATTGTACCAATTTGCTGTCCCTCAACATTGGAGTTTCGCTTCATCAATCCTCACCTCCTCCCATCCATCAAGATCTTCAGGTATCGCATTAATATATCATCATTTAACTAGTCCATGCATCAACCATTTTTTTTTATTTGTTACAATCAAGAAAAACTCTGGCTTATCTAGTCTTTGTAATCATGAAGCCGCATAAGCAGCACATAACATCTTCCGTAACAAGAAAAGATTATGGATCATCTTCTAGGAGCACCAACCATATGTCCACCACAATGTCCGAAAATATCGACCGGGAGGCTCCTAGAATGCCTCCTATTCGTCGTAAGTTGCTCTTTAATTTCCTCTCTCACATGTAATACACAAAGTATTTAACGTCTTGTGTAATATATGCAATTACCTAGCTAGCTAGCTATACATATCCTCCAGTCCATAATTTTATCTGAAGTAATTTTATTTTGATGGCAGCGCCGGAGAAAAGACAACGCGTTCCTTCGGCATACAATAGATTCATCAAGTAAGTGTTATAATTAGAAAACATTATTAATAATTAATTCTCTTAGAATGAAATATTCCTCAACTCCTTGATCACTACAAATTAAATAAAATCATTATTGTTAAATAGAGAGGAAATCCAAAGGATCAAGGCTTGCAATCCAGAGATTAGCCACCGTGAGGCGTTTAGCACAGCTGCTAAAAATGTAAGCCGCCCTTCTTTATCATACTTTTTTCAGATATATATAAGTAGAGATACTACTCTAGGAGAGATACAAAAATTCTAATAGTAGCTTCACCGACGACGTCAGAATTATATACGAAAAGAGCCAAATAAATAATATTTTAAAGTGCCGTAACTAAGATATATAAAAAAGTCTTCTTTAAAACAGTAGTAATTAAAATGTAGTGTTTCTTAACATTTAAATAATATATATAAATTAATATCTTCTAAATTACCATTATAAATAGGGTAATTAATAAAAATTAGAACACGGGATAGGATAGGATGAATTCTTAAAAGTTATTTTTTATTTCTAATAGTTAGTATACCATGTCATAATCTAATTATAATAGCTGGGGAAAATTCTAGGGTTTGGTCTCTTTCTCTTTTGTGATTGAGTTTGCGAAATATAAGTGTACATACCAATAAGGTAGTGGCTGCCACTATGCATAATTGGTGGAGTGTTTATTACAGAGTATAAATTATTTTCAAAAATTAATTTTGGAGTTTTTATGTGTGTAGTGGGCACATTTTCCTCACATTCACTTTGGATTAAAGCTGGATGGCAACAAGAAAGGCAAGCAATTAGACCAGACTGTTGCAAGCCAAAAATCTAATGGCTATTGCTAAAGCCCTTTCTATGATATATATATACATACATATATGCGTGTATATCTCATATATGCGATATATATGTGTATATGCTTTATGTTTTTATCTTTGTACGTACGCATTTATGAATGTGTAAGCAGAGCTGATGATGGAAGAAAAGGCGAGGAAGAAGAAGAAGAAGATCATAACCTTACATATATATACGTCTATTATATATGTTCCTTTCTTTTTCTTGCGGGAGCTTTATCTATAAACTTCGTTGCTTATATGTTCTCCTAATAAGTGTAAGTCTCTTTATGATTTTCACAATATTTGAACCTATAAGAATTTCGGAAGAATCTTCTTTATACGAAGATTGTAATATAAATTTCCACTTTACTCTCATTCTGAAAAGGTATAGCTTTTTGTGTGGTCACAACTTTTACATACCTAATATATAATATAATAAGTAGTTCATGGTGGTTGTAAATACTAAAAGATGCATGAGGTTAAAGATGTTGTGTGGAATTCGATTTTGATATTTAAAAATTTTGAATGTTGGAATTAAGATATACATACATATATATATATATGTATGTATGTATATGAACAGTATATAGATAGTAAAAGATAAAATTCCATCTAGGGATATGATATGGTAACTTTTATGGTGCTGAGATAAGTCTGAAACTCACTCATTCCAAAGAAACATTCTTTGCAAAAAGCAAAGGCTCCCAATGAATAGTTTCACTTGGTGTTAAATTATAATGGTTCTCTTTATTTTCTTTTTTTTTTGGTAAATAAGTAAGAAATCAATGCTCGTGTCGTCTCTCCTCTTGTCAGCCACAAAACTCACAATCTGGTTGAGTATCATCATCATGATTAATACTATGTGACACTTTTTTGTGCTGCTGATCGGCTCACTGTTTCAGGAAATCATCATAAGTATCGCGCGTGAAACTCTGGTTTTTTTAAAAAAACCGTTGCAGCGGATGATGCGGGACTAGCTCCGGTCGTTACCGTTTTTTCTGGAAAAAAGAATGTGTTGGCACATAACGAATGATTATGATTATGTATTTTAACAACAACAAGTTCGCTATTTGCAGTAGTGTGATCGTTTTCAAGATTCGAGAGCCATAGAAAGGTTTTGGTTAAGTAACATGGAAGATTTTGACTTTGTCAACGCATACTAGTTTTGTGAAACTTTTGTAGTATGTGGTCAACATAATTAATTAATTATATATGCATGCTGGGAAAAATAAAATCATATAAAAACTCATTTATACTATATATTTATTCAGGAGCTACTGAATAATAATATAAGAAAAAACGATAGTCTCTTGTAAATTTAATGTAATGCAGTCCCTTGTTAATTGTACCATATTGTAGTATAAAAGTAATTGCAATAGCTATATAGATATTTGTATAGGTGTGGTCAACTACTTTTGGTAAAAAGAATGCCACTTTGGAAGGAGAAAAAAAATGACTAAAGCAGAGACCAAAATTGGAATCACTAAGCTGAGCTATAGTTTCCACGTCAACATCAATTATCTAGTCAGTAGTATACGTACTAATGATATAACTTTCCATTTATATGTATTGTCAAAACCTAATGGACACTAAAAACTCTCTCTCGAGCTTGGTGGCCATGTTTAATGATAATCATCATCTGGTACCACTGGATAGTCTGGATATATTGTTTTCTTAAGAGGAAAGGGTTAGCTAGAGATGTGGGGGGGAGCTGTCGTCCAATGTATGCAACAGTATCAGAGACACAATTAAGTTACGTACACCTTCCAAGTTCCATCGTCCATGCACACACATTTTTTAAGAAGAAGAAGGTATAAAAGCTCTTTGCATATATATAGTCGAATTAAGAAATATGTATAAATATATAGGAAGGATGGGACTATGGGAGATATATTGTGTAGTATAATAATAGTATTAGGTAAATGAAGGAAGGAAGGAAGTTGGGGTCCAAAAGAAAGAAAACAGAATCTGAAACGTCAAATCATGTTAGTTGGGGTCTTTGTTTATGTCTTTTGGCTGTTTGTGCCTCTGACGGGTCTTGTCCACACCCCTTTAATTGTCTTTCCTTTTCTTTTCTTTTCTTTTCTTCCTTCATTATTATGTTTTTTTTTTGCTCCATTCTTCATTATTATTAATTACCGTCTTCTTTTTTTCTTTCTTTCGTGTAACAACGCTTAACTATTATTAATCCGTTGTTTTAGGAAGTCTTAATTACATGATAATTAATGTATCTATGTTGTCGTTAGATACTAGTAGTAGTATTTAAGAGTAGTCATATAACTTGCCAAATTAAGTCCATAACAAATTCGAAACGTGGATAGACACAGCCAGCAGCTTTGTCCTTCGTCATCTGTTTTATTAGCTTACATGGTTCCATGTGACATGTATTAATGACATACAGACAAATTTGATATAAACCCTTATGTGAGAGTGAGATATTCGCGTGTTTTTGGTTTAGTTTCATGTTATATTAAATCTTAATAACCATATTTGTTACACTAAAAGTCAAATGAAACTTGGAATATTAAAGATGAAATTCCCTTTTTTATGAATAATTTGGCTTATTGTTAAAAACGCAAAGATAGAACCAAAAATTATACTAAGGCCCATTTCAGCCCACCAGGAGTTTATGCATTTTAAGCCCAACAAAATGAGATTCCAATTGAACCGAATTCAATGGTACAGTTTCACACACACACTACTACACTAGTCTTACACCTAACTGATCCACCCATTAAAAACGGATGGAGATGGACAACAACACTAAAGCAAGGGCACAACTGGGTCAACAAATATCATTACCATGTTCTAATCAATGAAGCCAAGTACCATATTCTAATTAATGATATATCATTATATTGTTTTCATTCATTGCATCAGCGACAGAGTTTCATAGAGGGATATACTACAATCCCTTAGCCAACTAGAACTTTACAATTAAAAAATCATCAAGTTGATTTCTTTTACAAAGGAAAAAACACAGAACAAACTCAAGGCAAGTCATATACAGCAATAAAAGACATCAATACACTTCCCATCCAAAGCTTCCCATCTTTCTCCTCCACTTCACTTACTGCCTTCACCACTTTCCCTTGACTATCTTCCAACACCTTCAACACTTTCCCTTCTTCACTGTACTTCACTGCCACAGCATGAGGCCAACCCCCTACCTGCAGCAGGTACTGGAACTTCACTGATATCGGTAGCTTCAGAAAGAATTTCCTCACTCTCGGGTGATGGGCCATCACGTGTGTGAATATGTTGCGGTGGCAGTGCACAGCCACCCAGAAATCCCCATCTTTGTTTGTTCTGATGTTGTCTGGGAACCCATGTAATAGAGCTACCACCTCTGAGGTCCCAGCTTTTTCCCCTTTCAACCAGTATTTTTGTAGTCTGAATGACGACAACAAAGGAAAAGAAGTATTTGAGTTTATTCTAGCAGAGGATCATTACACTGAATATGGAAACAACTTGAGAATCCTTCTATGTTATGCTGATTGCAGGAATTATGCCAAGTATATATATATAACTGACAATGATGTGGAATATAGAAGTCACAAGAGGAATTAAGATGAAGGACTCACCTTCCAATTGATCCTTCACAAAAGATGAAAAAGGAGCCGTCTTTGCCAAGGGATAGGCCATTAGGAAACTGGAGATTTCTCACGAGAGTGGTAGTCTCCTTTGTTTTTGCATTGTATTTCAACACCCTCCCGCTGTCTTCCCCCGAGACAATCAAAAGCAAGAATTTCCTAGAAAGCCACAAACAGCGCAATCATTATACACACAACACTAAGGGCACAATCGGTCAAACACACAAGTGGAAACTAGGCATCAGAAGATCATTGCAACTTCTTGTAGATTCTCAAAAGATAACAGAATTTCAAGTTTCAACATCAAAGGCTCTGAAGTGTTAGCCACAGTCAAAATTTTGAATTTATGTCCCTTGGCAGACAATTCAATCCATATGACATGACATGGGTTTCCAAGTCCTAGTTGTAGCTGGAAGATAAAGAATGATATCAATCTGTTATCTGTGTGAAGGTTATAAGTTACCTACAATGGCATTTGAACATTATGTACAAATAATTGTCTACTGTTTCCCACTGAGTGGATTAAAGATTGTGAAGAAGCAAAACGAGATAAGCAGACAGAACCAAACTCCAAGCAACCCATGGATCAGGAGAGTAAAGATCAAATCATTGAAACATACATACCTCCGTTGGAAAAAAGAGCTGCTATCAGTAAAGTAAACATTGCCTTGGTCGTCAATGTCAAGATCATTGGTAAATCTCAAAGGCAAACCATCTGCCTCGGTTGTAAGAGAAGTTGCCAAACCTCCTTGAGGACCAACCTTCATTATCCCCAAATACGCATCTGCAATGTACAAATCCCCAGTATTCTTGTCGAATCGGAGACCCAAAGGCCGACCACATATATGTTCATCCTTTAAGTAATCCAAAAGTGATGGCTTTGGATCACATAGTTCTGACCTAATAAACATACATTAACATCAAAGCTGAGAACTTTACTGGTAACAAATTGGCCAAACAGAAAATCCCGATTGCAAATCGAACTCACCGATTGTTTGAAGTATAGGCAAAATCGGTCCAGCGAGTACCATTCCAAAAGAGAATTCGGCCGTCGGCGACTCCGGTGTAAGGACCACGACCTTGCGGATCGAAAGCAATACTCTCGGGACCTTGAACCTCATTAAGAAACCTGATCTCCGAATTCTGCAATAGATTTTGACGGTCTCTCTCCTTGGGAAGCGAAGACAACGGAGGCATGTCAATCTTGTAAGTTTGAAAGTCCGGGAACTTGGAAATAGAGCTGTGATGGAAGGGATCGAGAGCGCAATAGATCGCAAAGACGATAAAAATCTTGGCTACTATGCTCATGGCCATGTTTCTTTGGCTGAGGTGGTGACTGATGGATTTGAAGAATTTTTTATGCTAGACAAGTAGAGAAGTAGTTAAGTAGTCAGTAGTCAGTACTGCTTTGGTGGTTGGAAAATTTAAAACTTTTTTTTCAATTGCTGCTCTTTTTCGATATATGACAAAACATGAGGATCTTAATTGCAAATCTAAATCTGATGACAAACCGGAAAACCTGGTGAACCGGAACGACCCAAGTATACGTGGTGAGATATGGTTAGTTGGTTTAGTTAACCAAAAATTGCCTGAGGCGGCACCGTAGAGGAGTGAAGCTCGCCGTCAATCAGAAGAGAAAACCAAAAAGAGTATTTGTTTTTAGGAAAACTCAATTCGAAGAAGATAATCATCGATCTGGAGAAACGATGGGAGATTCGGAGTCATTCGTTGGCAAAAATTGGAATGGATTGAAGGATTTCTGGAGTGATAGGCTCTCTTTCTTCGATAATTACACGAGGTTCACCAAACGCGACGCGCCTCTTCCTTCTTGGTCTTCCTCCGATGTCGACGAGTTCATTGCCTCCGATCCTGTTCATGGACCTACCGTAATTTCTATCTCTCTCTCTCTCTCTCTCTGTCTCTCCGATCTCCGATTGCTTTTTTCCGTTCATCGCCATTGTTTGTGGTGATGCTTAGTTGATGCTTAGTTAATGGTGATTAGCGTAAGGTTTTGGCTTTAGATCTAGGAACCGTAGAGCTCAGGGATCCCAGTGAATCAACTAGCTCAAATTTTGAGAACACAAAACTGAACTTTTTATACTGCAGTTGTCTCTTCATGTGTCTAAGGTTTCTTTCAACTTGTCAGTTTATTAGGTCGGAGTATTATGCTATTATTCCAATCAATTAAGTTAGAAGAAACTGATAAGGGTATGAGGTAAAAGAAGCTTGAGTTTCAGGATTAGAAGATGCAGGAGTTTAATAGACTAGAGCGAGGCAGAAATGTGATAAGCATTGGGGAATCTAGTTGTGTACTAAGGCTAAGACCAAGAGTGTGGGGGGTTTTCTACAATCAATCCCTTAGTTGACGTTTTGGTGCCATAAGAATCGCTTACCCTTTTCTGGGGGCACTTTGAATTCTTTGTATAACTTCTTGCTCCATGTCATCCCATAAGTACATATTTGGTTTTCTTACTCAAGATATAGACGTGTTGGTCCTCAAAAAGCTTGCCTAACATTGTGTTCATGCCTTTCCAGCTGAAAACTGCTAGGGAAGCTGTGACCTTTGGTGTTACTGGAGCTGCTCTTGGAGCTGTTTCTACTGCTGCTTTTGCCTGGAAATACTCCAGGAGTCCACATGGTAACACATTTTCCCTTTGGCAATTCCTATTTGATCTTGATAAACCTCACTTGTTTTATTTTAAAACACAAAACTCAGTATTCAGGATAATAAAAAAAATATAGGAGTCAACTTGACATAATGTCCATATTGACAACGCTTGGAAAGTGTTATGCAGTTCTTATGGGACTCACATGTCGCCAAATACTTTTGTCGATTTGTATTTTGATTTCTCTTGCGATGTTTGACACCTCTGACTGCTGCTGGTGCGACAGGTGCTGCATTGTCGTTCTTAGGAGGAGGTGTTTTTGGTTGGACCTTTGGGCAAGAAATTGCAAACCACACGATGCAACTCTATAAGCTGGACACGATGGCGGCCCAAGTTAAGTTCATGGAATGGTGGGAACGCAAGAGTCAAGGAAGGTCTTGAATCCAAACCGAAGACTTGAGTGCTGCTTTCTTGTCCAGAGTATCTTGCAAACAGCATGAAATGGTGACTGCTGTCCACTTCCAGACTTTTGCTTTTGGGTATTTTCATTGTCGCTTTTGGAGCATGTTTTCCTTGTCTCAATAATCCAACATGCCTCCTCAAATGTTTTCAAGATTTAAGGAATTGAATTGAAAAGAAACCATTTGGTTTCTGAAAAAATAACATAAAAACGTTGACTTCACTTCCTATATGACGCACATAGAACTTTCTGTTGGTTCCCCATTCTAAGTCTTATTTGATGAAGAAACTCGTAAGTTCTCCCTTTGCACCGATGAAGCATTTACTTTCACGTGGGTTCGTAAAAATATGATCAAAAAATTCTGAAAGTCGTCCGTGACTATTGTTAATACAGCGTCTAACTACAATACAATGGCCCTTGGTAGCTGAAGGACCAACACCCAATTATTATATGTAACAGATTTAAATAAATAGCCTTTGAGGCAATATAACATACAACCAGCTGAGAGATCCAGCAGAAAGGTGCTATTCCACTTATTTGAAAGAATTGAAGAAGCTCACGGTGTCTGCAAGCGCAACGATAAAGGAGTCAACATCTTCCTTCGTGTTATAAAAGTAGAGGCTGGCGCGCGCACTTGCATTTACTCCAAGATACCTGTGGAGTGGCTGTGCGCAGTGGTGTCCTGACCTTATCGCAACTCCATGCTGCAACACATACAATATTTACTTCAGTTTTCATCTTACTATGGATATTCTGATGAGAGCAAAGTAGGCTTCAGGAAGATGCCAGATTATCAAGCACCTCAAGGTTTAGGGGTATGACGTTTGAGGTAGACAATTAACATAACATATGCAAGATGTATTTGTTTGATCTAGATCAATTACTCAAACAGGTCTCACGTAACCTAGATGATGCAGGGTTTTGTTGTAACATAGATACCAACAGAGTCCAGACTCATGTCCACACATATTTCACAAACTCTTGGAGTTGAGAATAGCCACCACCTCACTTCATAGGCTGTGACCACATGATATCCTAAGCTAAGCATTTAAGATTCGCTTTGACTGCTACGTGGTGCAGCTACCATTCACTGAGATATGTATGTAGTGTCCTACTGCCCCAATCCTTCTACATTACTAGCTCTTATTCCAGAGAATAATTTTTTATTGAAGATAAGAGAAGAATTAGAAAGTGATAGGACAGATAGCTCCCAGTTATAACATACCTGTTGATCAAGAAAGGTTGCCAAATCAGTTGGGTGCAAGCCCTCCACATTGAAGGAACAAAGAGCACCCCTGTGAACACTTTCAGAAGGTCTGGGGCCGTATATCCGGACATCAGGAAGAGAAGACAGTTTCTCGTACAAATACTTACCAAGCTCTACCTGGACGACATAAGATATTAAAATAACAGTAAGAAAGAGAACATGTGAAGATCAAAATATCTTAATTAGTTTTCCGAGAAAAAAGTGTCTGACCAAACTTGAGTAACTAAAAAAACACTGTATGTATTCCATTACATTCATTGACAATTAGTTGTAGGAAAATAATATTAAACCTCATATTCATGGATTTTTGGCATGCCAATCTCTGACAAATAATCAACTGCTGCTCCAAGGGCAATTGCTTCTCCTATTGCGGGTGTTCCAGCTTCAAATCTGGTACGAAATTGAATCTACTTATTTCCAAACAGCAGTAAATATGTAAATTAGAAACTAATATAAGTATAACCCTAACCTGGATGGAGGTTCCGCATAAGTTGAATGATCAAGAAATACATCTGAAATCATTTCTCCTCCGCCTTAAAAAAGGAAGGAAATAGAAGGAAAAACAGATGCGTTAACCAGTCCTTGATTAAACAGATATAATGACTGTTTAAGATATAAATGATATATAGCTTACCTAAGAATGGAGGCATGGAATGTAGAAGATCACTCTTACCATATAAGAACCCAATGCCTGTAGGTCCACACATCTGAATCATGATTATCATATTACTATAAGCTTGCCACAAGGCTTATTATGAATCTCAGGAAGAAAAGAAAACAATTCCAACCTTGTGAGAAGACGCAACTAGGAAATCAGCATTTAGCTTCTGAACATCAACCACCATGTGAGGAACACTTTGACAAGCATCCACAAGAACTTTCGCTCCAACATTGTGTGCACAGACCACAATCTCTTCAATAGGTAAACAAGATGCTGAACATAAAGGAAATTTTTAGATACTTACCCAGTCCTCTTTTTATCAAGGAAAAACAAAGACACATATACAAGATAAACAAAATGATTATGATAAGAACATGAAAAAGGAATCTACCAAGGACATTTGAAACATGATGAACTGCGACAAGCTTTGTCTTTGGATTAATCATTTCTCTCAACTTGTCTACGTCTGGGACTTCATCTTCATTCAACATAACATACTTAAGAACTGCTCCAGTCTTTTCAGATACTAATTGCCAAGGAACAATGCAACTATGATGTTCGGCCACTGTTAGAATAACCTGAAAAGCTAGCATCATTCACAATCTCATTTGATATTGGGAAAGGAAAAGTAAAACAAAAAGCAACACTTTGACTGTGAAACAAAGGACTCAATGTGTGCAGAGAAACATAGATAGCAAGATAATTAAATAGACTGATTGAAAAAGTAAGGGCACACCTCGTCACCAGGTTTAAGGTTCAAAAGACCCCATGAATAAGCTACAAGATTAATGGCTTCAGTAGCATTCCTAGTGAAAACAATCTCTTTGCTATCCGAAGCATTGATGAAACGGGCAACCTTTTTCCTAGCCAACTCAAATTCATCAGTAGCCTTGGCACTTAAATAGTGTATCCCTCGATGAACGTTTGAATTATAGAACTCATAGTAGTTCTGCAAGGCCTCCAATACAACTGCCGGCTTCTGAGAAGTTGCAGCACTGTCTAGGTACACAAGCTTAGACCCATTCACTTCCTGATAACTCAACCAAAGTTTAATTTGTGTGAGCTCTCTAATTTTTTCCAAGTAGAAAGCCAACAGCATACTTCACTATACCCAATCTATTCGGATTAATACAATTAGGGAAAGTGGACAAACCTGGTGTAGAATTCTGAAATCTTTTCGAACGCGATGGCCGAGAGAGACCGATTCGGAATTGGTGGCGACGGTGGCGGAGGAAGAGGCGGCGGAATAGACAGATAGCGAAGAGGAGCGACGGATGCGGGAGAAGCTCCGGTGTCCGATAGAGATGGCGTTAGGGGCGAGTGATTTGAAAGAGGGGAGTTTCATAGCCACACCTTCCATGGTGGAGAGTGGAGACGACGAAGGGAGAGTGGATTTTACCCCGGGGTGAGTAGAGTTCAGCTGGTTTAAAGTGGGGAGAGTCTTCCAAGTCACTAGTTCGAACACAGGCGACGGAGAAAAGATTTAGTTGTAAAATTGATAACTGAAACAGTTACTGTATATATGGGCCGATTTAGGCCTCTTACGCTCTTTAATGGGCCAATAGTTTAAAAGGTCCAATAAAACCTGATTTCACGATTCGTTTGGTTTAATGGAAACACTACAGAACACGTAACCTATAATATCCGTTTAAAGACAGTTGGCAGATATTTTTGAGAGTAGGGAAGCGCAGACAGCAAAAGTAAGGTGAGAGGTCACATGGGGAAGAGCGAAGAGGCGTTGTCATTTGATTGGACCGACCACTTCGTCATCGTCTCTCATGTTCCTTTGTACCCCCCAAACTTCAAGACTTGTCCACATGTCACGCTCACATATGTCTTAGTTTTATGCAGAGTCAATGACGAGCTCGTTATAACTTTTTGCATACAGAGAGTCTTGTGCTTTTCTTTATTTCAAAGAAAAGATAAAGCAAAGAATTCCTGATTTATAATCAAGAGAAAACGAAAGACGAAAAAGAGAGAGGAAGAAGAGTTATGTTGAGATCTTCTTCAGATTGTGCTAATGTCGTCTTACTACTCATCTCGTGCGGCCTTATGGTTCTGAGTTTCTCAGCTGATGCGTACAAGAACTACACTGTGGGAGAGGCCACGGGATGGTTCGATAATCAGGAGAAACCCTCTGCTAATTATCAGAAATGGGCCGATTCCAAATCCTTTTCTTTGGGTGATTTCCTCAGTAGGTTTCCAAATCCTCTTCAAGCCCTACGATATGTATAGCGTGTTTTTTTGGTTCTGTTTATCAAAAAGATTGAGAGTCTCAGCGTGGTTAACATATTTTGTGTTGTTTTCAATATAGTTTTCAACACAGACAGCAACCATTCGGTGGTGCAGACATATGATTTCAAAACGTACAAAGAATGTGATTACGACAACAATGAAGACAATAGTACGACAGAGTGGTCAGCTGCAAATCCTTCATCAACATCTCCCGTTCCCGTCTCAATAAGTGTTCCTCTTGTTAAAGAAGGCTCCAACTATTTCTTCTCAGGAACTTATGATGGCGAACAATGCAAATTCGGACAGCATTTTATGATCAATGTAACACATGGTCAGGGCCTGCCTGATTTATCATCACCAGATGAAGATGCCTCTGCGCCTGGACCCGGGGATTCTTCTCAGTCCGGTGATGATGAAGTTGCTCCTGACACCATCGTCCCGGCCAATTTCGACCATCCTAAAGATATTGAGAGTGATAATGATGATAAAGAAGTTCGTGGTAGGAAAAGTTCTTCTTCCATGACAAAATCTAATCTGTTTTGTTTAGTTTTTATAGCATTATTTGTATCACTTTAATCAAAATCTTCTTCTTCAGAACGGGATTTTTTTGTATGTATATGAGCTTTTTGTTTCTCTAAAGATACCCTAGTAAATTGCCTTTGCTGATATAATCAAAACTATTATAAAAGAAACCAAAGAGTATTAGTGCAATTTTGAAAACATTAAGGCAATGATGAAAAACAAAAATAGAGAAAAGAAATGAGTTTCCCATTTTTTATATATTTTAATGTTCAGTCTTCTTTACTTTGGATGTTGATGTCCCAAAAGTTCTGTTAATAAGTTTCAGTCTCACTCGTGATTCAACGTATAACTGCAATTATGTTCTGATGATTTGTTTTATCAACAATATGCATTATGACGGATTTAAGTCTGGTAGGTTACACTGAATAGACTAACCTAATTTGATAGACTAATTCATTGTATCTCTTCATTTTGGCACGAATCTATAAAGATAATTCATTTAACGTTTATCTTTTTTTTCTTGCCTTTTTATGACAGATAGTTCAAAAAGTTGTATTGGATCATTAATTTGATGGGTTATAGAATTTCTAATTACAGGGATTTTACCCATCAAATAAACAAAAATACTAACAACTAGAATACATATAATAATATTAAAAGAAACCATGGAGCCTGAGGTCAAATCATTTTCACAAGAAAAGGAAGGAAATGATGAGAAACCAAAATGAACATTACGTATCATATCTACATGTACAAAGTTGGACCAGTGACAAGAACCTCTGCTAAATAAGCTAGAGGAAGCATTAACATGTTGATTAACAAGAGATTATGGATTCCACTGAGAATGTGCCTATCATGTTTGACCCCATTTCTGCTCTAGTCAAGAAACTCTAAAATAAGGGATTACTTTACTTGTGGTCAAGCCAATAATGAAAATAAAGATTAAGAATCCCCATTATTCATGGAGAATGCTAAAAACTGAATCACCTTTGCAACTTCCAATTATATTTATGCACTATTTTTATCTTTATCTCTGTTTTCCAAAACTATCTTTATCATCGTTTGCTTTCATATCACGCAAATTCTTTTCTCTTAAATTAAGTTTTTTTTTTGTTCTTCTATCAAGTACGTATTTTTATTTATTTATTTTGCAAATCATTTCATCGTCTCTTTCCGGATTTAGTTCAACTCAATCTTGTTTGTAGATTTTACTTTTTGGATTCCAATATGCGATTTGGCTTTACCTTTATTTTGCTTTTGGTAAAGGCATTATTTGAAGGACAAAACCGTTTTGGTTGTTCGATCGTGTCTATTTAATAGCCTCACCTCACGCTTAAATTTACAGGTACAAAGAAGAAAGCATCACATTCATTACAACATCGTCCACATGCTTGTTTAGCTGGAAACAACTACAAAACCAAACAAAGTACAATAAATTTAGGATAAGAGACTTGATGCCTTGTCTTGCGCTGGCACATGGGACACATAAAATAAACATAATTTGTATATGACACGACACCCATTTTCCCATAAGCAAAATAAATAAATAGAAAGATTAAATAAATATAATAAATCTCCATCGAAAATTAAAAAGAAAAAAAAAAAAGAAGAAGAAAAAAAAAACAAATATACAAAGGGTGGGAGAAACTTTTGTGAGGAGGAATTGAAATGATGGTGGTAGTAGTTGCAAGCAAGGTGGTAGCAGATATAGTTACAAAAGAACCAAATGAGCCATTGCTGTAATTTTTTTTATGGTGCAGTGCCCCATGTTGTTGTTGGTGTCTTACTACTCCACTCTGTTCTTCCTCTCACCACTTCAGCTCCATCCTCGAGTCGGAGCAAATGCTGACACTCCACATCACCGGCTGTTGCGAGGTTACCGATATCGCAACCAGATACTGCGGTCAGTGACTGAAGGACACTGTCTCTTCCGCATTCCCTCCGATACTCCAGAGTCATGCTTTTCAGCTTCTGCCTCTCCATTATTCCTGCTGGAGCACTCTCCAGGATCCACCCAATGTACTTTACATTATTAACATGCTGGTTAACATCCAGGTCACTCCATCGCGGCTGAAAACATTAAATTACCGAACCATAAGAGAGTCGTACAGGCTGGGAATCAGTTTTCTGAATCATACAGCAGATAATATACTCACAGTGAGACCAGATCGAACATAGTCAGCAGTCTTGTCATCAAGTTTTGTTAACTTTCTACTGTCCTCAGTAAGGACAGGGTCAGAATTCACAAAATAAGGTTCTATTTCCCCTCGAACCTCTTCAGGAATCTTTGACAATCTTCTTGTCAGTTTATTCATCATCACCCAAACACTGCAAAAGAATATTTTCCAATAATATCAAATATCTAACCCATGAAAACATAAGATGCCTAATTATTCCTAGCATAAGCTTGTCTAGACGTTTCTGAATTGATGATAACAGAGCACACAATATTAAACAGAGAGCACAGACCTCCTAGCTTCATCAGAAAGACAAATAAATGGTCACACGCAGAAAATGAGAATAGATTGAGTAAACCAAGAAGAAATCTAACCTTGATGCTCGTGTTAAGGTTTCTCCAGTATTGCTATCCCGAACTAGCCAATCACGACGCATACCGTTCTTTCCAGACTGACTAACCCAGGTATCGACTTCAACAACATCTCCCCTACAAGACAGATTTTGAATAAGCAAATGAGTTCTGATGCAACAAAATATGCATGCACAGCAAGTCATCCAGGGTGCAAAACTGGCCATTTCCTCAAACCTGGTTGAAAGAAATGATAGCATGAACCTGCTTATTCAGGTTTATGCAGGAGAATCTAAATAGTCACAAAGAAAAAACAGTGAATTTAGGCAATCTATTAAGTTACAGTTGCTTACCAAGTAGGATATTTATCAACCACAACCTGCATACGTGTAACGACCCATATCAAGTTCTTCTTAAACATCTCGGGAGTAGAACCGAACCCATCCCCAAGCAGTCCAGCAGTCTTAACATGATTAAGCGCCGTTTCCTGAAGTGAGCAGAAGAAGCTAAATCATGCATATCAACGAGACCAGTGACAACATGTGACTATAATCATAGGCAAGTGGTACCTGCAAATGATTCATGACTGTTTCTATAGATGCTGCGCGATCAGCACCTATCTCATAAGACCTAATAGAGAAATTCTGACGGAACACAAGGCCATCCTGAACAATCCTCCCAATACCGAAAGGATCCATAAGAACGTCAGAACGCCTGGGTTTCCAGTCAAGCATCATCCACTGTTTCTCAGCAGCTAAGAAAATGGTTGTGATGGCAGCAAGAAGCATGCTCCAGTCAGGTAGCTGGTTGATGAAAGTTCTTGGAGCGGGATGTGAGGACGTTTCGGTATCAGTCCTGACGATGTCTACAGAACCAGGCAAACCAACTTTTTTGCCATTAATCTTGGGAGGAGCCTGAGCGTTAGGTTTAACCTTCATCCTGCCAGAGTTTGGTGGTGAATTGAGTCCAGCAAAATTCGTGGAGCCAATCTTATTTCCCTTTCCATTAGGATCAAGCGAGGAGGAGGGTACAGGAAAGAAGGAAGACGTAGCAGAGGTGGCCACCATGACGAGGAGATGAAACGTTCAAAGACACTGCCACCAAAGAAAAAAGAAGAGGAATTGAGAAAAGCTAACAAACTCGGTGAGTGCGATATTTATATTAAATGTTTCATCTTTTAGCAATAAGCAGGAGGATCTTCCTGAAGTAGTTATAATCTCCAATTAACAAACAAAATGCTAGAAGAAGAAAAAGGGCTTCCATAAACGAACACTCAATATCTTAAAACACACACAAACTTAAAAAAAAAACAATTCTCTTAAATAAATAAAAAAGAAAGAGAACATATATGTTCAAATTCTCAGATAATCACTAAGCTAAATCCGAAACTGAAGAAAAGAGCATTAGAGCATTCAAAAAATGGTGAGTGGGATGCTCAAAATCGTCAATTCATTCCAATAATTCAACATTAGCCTTATAGAGGAAACCAAATTGATACAGGTAAGAAAGAAAAAAAAGCCAGATCTGAAACCCAAGCACGAAAGAAGAGAAGCGAGAAGAAACTAAAGCTGATAAAAGCAGATCCTCGAACCCCCCCCCCA